AGATCTTAGCAATAATTTATTTTTTTTTTCTTTCCCCAGTGATAATTAACTGATCCTGGAGAGCGCCGAAAATAAGCACTTCCCAAGCAAGTAGCAAACTCCCCGGAGTTTTCCCTGCTAAAGTTACAGCTGAGCAAGAAACTGCTCCGGCCTCGTGGGGATGTGGCTGACCCCAAAACCTCTCTGCCAAGGATGCCAGAGCAGCCAGAGCAGCCAAAGGCGGGTGGGATGGCACCCATAGGTGCGTGAGGGGGGGCAACAGAGGCGGGACACCAAGCAGCGAGCCCCTGGGGTGCATGCAATGGGGAAAGGACCCCAAAGGGCACGGAAAGGAGAGGCAGATCCCATGGGGGTGCAGTGGGGCAGGGTTCCTGAGGGGCAGGTGGGGGGATGAGGGTGCCAAGGGGGGGTGTTAGGGTAAGGGCCAGGGCACAGTCTCCTGGCAGTGCCCTCCCTGAGGCCGGAGAGGTGCTGGAGAGGTGTGCAGGGCAGCGCTGGTCTCCAGTGGCAACCAGACAAGCCTCAACTCTCAGCGCTTTCCTCCTGCCTCCACTTCCACAGGCAACAAACCCAAACAGCCCCCTCCGAGCAGGCAGGGAGGGGTTGGGGAGGTTTGGGGGGGTCCCACCAGGTGCATCCCGCAGGGCCAAGAGAGGGGATCTGCGCCTGTGTGCGGTGTGCGTGCCAGGAGGTGCTACCCCAAAAATAAAGATTGCTAAGTAAAAGGGCTGGGGAGGAATAAAAATGAGGGGAAAAAAAGAGAGAATAAATAAAAAAAAAATTAAAGGGGATAAACAAATTAAAAAGGGAATAAAAAAAAGAGAGAGAGAAAGAAGAAATGGGGAAATAAATGAAAAATGGGGAAATGAAAAAATAAAAATTGGAATAAAAATGAAAAAAGGGGGAAATAAATAATGGAAAAAGGAAAATAAATGAAAAAATGAAATAAAAAATTAAGAATGAAAGAAATAAAAATGAAAAAAAGAGGGAAATAAAATAAAAAGGGGGAAATAAAATTGGCAAAGGGGGGATTTTTTTAATTTATTTTTTTATAAGGGGGAAATAAGAACCCAAACCCGAGGGGCACGGCCTCGCTACCCCCCCCTCCCCCGTGTACCCCCCCCCTCCCCCGGCAGGTACTCACCCGGAGCTCGGCGCGGCCCCGGCGGCTGCAGCGCCCGGAGCCGCCGGGGCTGTGCGGGGCCGTGCGGGGCCGTGCGGCCGCTGGGGCGGAGCGGAGCGGAGCGGGGGGTGCGGAGCGGAGCGGCCCCGCGGCGCCACCCCGCGGCCTCCGAGCAGCGCCCAGCGCCCCGCAGCATCCCCCCGGTGCGGAGGGGAGGTGGCGGGGTGCTGGGGGGCACGAAGGGGTTCGATAGGGGGATGCTCGTTAGGGGAGGGGGCTTCGAGGGAAGGGAAGAAAAGTGAAAAGAAATTATTTGAAAGGAATTTGAGAGAGAGAAGAGAAGAGAAGAGAAGAAGAGAAGAGAAGAGAGAGAAGAGAATAGAAGAGAAGAGAAGAGAAGAGAAGAAGAGAAGAGAAGAGAAGAAGAGAAGAGAAGAGAAGAGAAGAGAAGAGAAGAGAGAGAAGAGAGAGAAGAGCTCCGAAGAGAAAGAGAGAAGAAGTAGCTGAGAAGGAGAGAATCGGAACGAAAATTGAGAAACGCTCCAAGCGAACTTGAAAGAAAGAAATCAGAAGAAAGAAAATTGGAAAAAAACTGAAAGAGAAAAATTGAAACGAAAATTGAACGAGACAGAGAAGAAAATTGGAACGAGCGAAAACTTGGAAGAAACTAAACACTTCTTAAAAAAACGTAAAATAAAATTAAAAAATACCTAAAACAAACAAAAAATGAACAAGTAAAGTAACTAAAACAAAGTAAATAGAAAATAAAAAAAATAAAAGAAAACAAAACAAAATAATATAAAACAGCCAAAAAGCAAAGCTCCCAGCTCAAAACCGACTCACTGAGCCCCAGGGAAGGGCGGGCAGCAGTTGGCAGGCAGTATGTGAGCTGCACCTCATGCACGGGCACAGGGGATCCGAAATGGCCTCGCCACCGGTGCGTGGGGTTGGCAGCGTGATCAAAATCCCAGAGAGCCAGAAAGACAGGCCCGTGGGCACCGGTGTCTGTGGGGCACTGGCTTTGTGGGGTGGCTTTGGCTGAACAGGTTGGGGCTGGGAGCGGGGAGGGACGGTACTGAGTGATTTACTTTAAAAAAAAAAAAAAAAAAGTAATTAAATTTATTTATTTAAAAAATAAAATCCTGGGCTGATGGTGCGAGGGTCATGGTTTGGGTGGGAATTCCCATCGGAGAGGAGCTGGGAGGGGTTCAGCCACCCCCTGCCCTGCGAGGTGGAGGTCCTGGGCTAGGTGTAGGGAGAAGCTCGGTGGCTGCCCCCTCCCTGGGTGTCAGCACAAGCTGCCAACCCTCACAGCCTTCCCCGGGGAACAAAATCCCCCGAGGTGCGAGCAAGAGGGCAGCCTGGGGACGTGCAGGGCCAGGGGAGGCTGCTGGGCTCCCTGGATGGGGCCAGATTCCCCCAGCAGGTAAAAGAGGAGCAGGGGGGGCAGGGATCGGGCTCTCTTTTGGGACCCCCAGCAATCAGGGGGCTCCCTCTGCCCGTTCCACCACCACCACGTGAAATTCCCCCTCCTGGGACCCCAGGGCGAATCAGACAGAAAATGGGTTTATTTCCTTGCACTTTGGGGAATCTCGTTCTGACTCAGCAGGCAGGCAATAGTGAGGTATCTCGGGTTTTTATTTCAGTCCTACTCCACGGGAAACGACGTTCACTAGCGTTAGCTTCCTTCGGTTTGTTTTTAATTCGCTCCAGTACCGTGTTAAATAGAAAATAGCGACTGAACGAGGACGGACGGTGAAAAAGTACAAGATGCTAAAAAGGTCGCTTCTCCTCCACAGATGTCCCGAATGTTACGAGTTGTTGAAAATTAGTATAAAATAGGTGACGGTGCTTGCAAAACCCCACTCATCCTCCCCGTGCCTACTGAGCCCACACAGGAGCTCCCCCAAAGTCGGTCGCTGTCTTTGCCCCCATTTTACAGATGGGGAAACTGAGGCATGGAGAAGGGTAGTGGCTTGCCAGAGGGCAAAAATGGCAGCTTGCGCTCTGAGACCACATTTTCCTCTATTCTGACCCCAAATCACCCCACAAACTGCCCTTCGCTCAATTCACAGCTCTCTGGGGGATGCAGCAGCACAGACCCCACCAGGTCCATCACCTCCTGCCCCCAAAGACCACCAGTGACCCCGAGAGCCATCCCATCCCAAAGGCTGCTTTGGGGCACCACAGAGAGCCTCAAATAGCACAGCCCCTTATAGGAACGCTCTCCCTACGGGTTTTCTTGCCTACCTGGTGGCCACAGCCACCACGCCAGGAGGGGAAGCGTACCGAGATGCCTTCTCTTTGGTAATTTGGGTGTGCAGAGCCGGTCCTGGGGCTGGGCCCAGGAGCTCAGCTCGGCATGAGGCTGCAGGAGGGACGGGAGATGCAGCAGGGCAGCTGCAAAGCTCCTCTGCTGGCAGTGCTGCGTGAGGCTGCTGCAGCTGCCAGCAGTCATGGGGTAAGCAGAGCCGGTGGGACATCGATGTTTTGGAAGCTCCCAAGGAAGGTGCAGGTGGGGCTGAGGGCAGCACCGAGGTTGTGGGGCTGCACGGGACCCCGGCACGCAGCAGACCCCGATATTTCTTCTGGTGTAAGTAAAACAAGCCTGAGCCTGGGTAATTTGGACGCCAAGGTCCATGCTCAGCCCAGTCTGCAGTCTCCCTCCCAAAGAGAAGCAGTGACAAATTGCCCGAGGAGCTTGAAGAATTGCTGGAGGCTTGGCAGTACGCAGCACTTCATTTTCCATCGAGGCGAGCTTGGCTTTTCACATCGCTGGGTGGTGGATTTCAGTCCTCAGTGGCCGATGGAGGAAAAGGAGGTGGTGTTCCCCTCCAGGTGGTGTTCCCCTCCAGGCGATGTTCCCATCCAGGTGATGATCCTCTCCAGGTGATGTTCCCATCCAGGAGGACCTGGCTGTCGGGTCGGTGTGTGCACAGCCCATCCCACATGCTGGGCAGCACCAGGCACTGCCCTCCCCAAGGCCAAGGGGGAGAACAAGGAGTCCTGCGTCCTCGCTGTCCTGCCTTGGACAGCACCGTGGAGCCACGTTTGGGTGTTTAAAAACTGATTATCACTAGGATCTCCCCATCACAGCTCACCCCTGAGCATCACCCAGGTGCCTCCCTTCCTTGTGGTGTTCCTGGCAATGCCAGAAACCCTCCCCAAAGTGGATTTAATTCTGATGATGAGCAAGAGGCTGGCACAAGCCAGGAAACCGTAAAATGGGACCAGAGGCAGCAGGCAGCCAGGCCTGTGATCCTAATTCAAGGAGTTTCCCTTCCCTCCTCAAGAAGAAAGAAAATACCCCGACAGAGATGGTCTGAATGGACCTTGAGAGCCTCCTCCCCGACAGGCAGAGGCCCACATGTGGCAGAGGCTGAGCGGGGCCATGCTTTGGGGTGCCACCAGCACTGAGACCAGGGGGGAAAACCGAGAGCCCCAGGGAGAAAACGTCAGGGGGTGAGGGGCTCCGAGGGCCTGTCTAGGAGCAGTGCACCGGGTTGTGCGCTTAGCACGGGCTCAGAGGAAAGGTTCTGCAGTGCCCTGGAAGAAATTCAAGTTTTAACCACTTGTAAGGCTTTGATGACTCTGGACCTTCCCATCGAGAAGGCCACAGGGACCTGGAGCATCTCCAGGTGCTGCCAGCTCTGCCCCACCACTGTGGGTTATGGGTGGCCCACGCCAAGGGCTCCAGTAGCCAAACCCAAGTGTGGGGTGTGGGGTCGGGGCCCCTGCTCCCATGGGATGCTCGGGGTCAGCAGGGTGGGCAAAGCCTCCCCTAACCCCCTGCAAGTGGTTGTTGTTCCCCTGTCACCCCTCGGTTGGTCGCTGTGTTACAAAAACTTTGCCTAAAAACAAAAAAATAAACCGTTCGCAAGGTTAAAAAAAAAAAAATCTGTTTAAAATCAACCTTCAGGCTCTTCTGTCTGTACCCACGGGGACAGTGGGGGCGAGCCCACAGCCCTTCCCCGTCCCCTTTTCCATGTCCCCATGTCCCCGCTGAGGCGAGCAGTGTCCTTAAGGCACCTATCGGGGCCTTTTGGCCTCCAGCGTGCTGGGCCGGTAGAGGTACCTCCAGATGGCATAGTAGTGGATGCCGGCCCCGATGGCCACGAAGAGGTGCCAGATGGCGTGGGCAAAGGGGATGCGGCCGTCGCTTTTGAAGAAGACCATGCCCAGGCAGTAGGAGAGCCCGCCGGCCACCAGCTCCGGGAGGCCGTCCCTGTTGGGCTGTGAAAAAAAAAATAAAAGCACAGAAACAGCGTGGTCACAACCAGAAAATGGCTGTGAGGAGCCCTGCGCTGCCTTCTCCTCACCCTCCCGTCCTGCAGGGAAGCCCTGGACTTTGCTGCGATCCTCCCAACATGATGGAGACCCTGTGGGATGTCTTCTGGAGGTGCCCACTGGTACATACTGGGGTGTGCTGGGCACCTAAATCGCATGTGAACCAAGCCACAGCAAATCTGGAGATCCCCTTACTCACCTCCAGGCCAACCCCCTTGGGGACAACCCAGCCCCGCTGGACCCGTGAGCTCCCCGGCGGTGGCTTACCATGGAGAGGATGACCACGGCGGGGAAGAAGCCCATGATAACGTAGCACACCAGCTCCACCAGCTTGTACCTGCGACCGACAGAGGAGGCAGGGCTGAATTTTACGCTTATCGAGCCCAAATGCTGCTATAGGGAAAGGGGTGGCGGTGCCACCACGGTGGGACCCATGTCCCCGTGGGACCCCACAGTGGGTGGCCCTGCACAGAACTGGCTCTGGAGCTTGAAGCTTGAAGGCAGGGCTCCAGGAAGGCTTTGGGAACTGTTTTCTTTCTATTTGGTGCCACCCCGTGGAACAACCCGCTCATGGCACAACATCCTTGCTCCCAAATCCCTGCCACCAGGGCGGTGGCCTCCCAAAAATAAGATGTGGATGGGAAAGGACGCAGCAGTTCAAGGGAGCCCTCCACCTCCTGCTGGCCTGGGGGCTGCCCAGGACCCCCACGTCTGTCTGTCTGTCTGTGTCCATCCTTCCTGCTGTCCCGTTGAGGCACTAAGAGTTGAAGGAGCAGCAGGGATGGGCTCTGCAGGGCCAAATTCGGGTACTGACCGCTCATGGAAGAAGAAGACGTAGACGGTGCCGACTGATGCCATGATCCAGATGATCCAGCGCATGTGGGAGGCCCAGGGCCCCAGCTCCCGCAGGTTCAGCCTGCAAGACCCAGGGCGGGGGTGAGCACGGCGGCACCCCAAGGATGGCGGCACGGGGAAATGTGGCCCTCACCCCACACGTGTCCCAGAACAGCCCTCCCGACCCATAACATCAACAGACAGGGGTTGGAATACAGAGAATAGGAAGGATTTTGGGAAAAGTGGGAAGCTTTTATTGCTGAGGTGGGCACTCACCAGGGAGCGTAGGAGGCGGCGATGAAGAAGTAGATCACCATCCTGTCGAACATGTGCAAGCAGTGCTCCACGGTCCTGCGGGACAGACAGACAGACAGACACATCAGAGCCCAGGGCACCACAGATCCAGGGTATGCTGTCAAACCAGAAACTTTAAAAAAAAAATAAAATAAAAATGATGCACTTGAAAACAACTGATATAAATCATAAAATAAATGATATAAATCATAAAATACATTATATAAAATAAAATAACTGTTATAAGTCATAAAGAAAATGTTATAAAATAAAATAAGTAATATAAATAATGGATATGAGTAATAAAATAACTGATATAAATCATAAAATAAATGATATAAAATAAAATAAATTATATAAATAATAAATGGTAAAAAAAAATAAAATAAATGATATAAATAATAAACTAAAAGATGCATTGAAATGTTGTTTTCTATTGACATAGCTCAGAAAAATCTCTGAGGGTTTGCCAGGGGCTGCCAGGGCTCTAGGACTGTTGTCCCCCCCTCCTGAGCCACGAGCAGGCAGGGCTGGTACCTGAGGTGCCTCTTCTTCCAGGAGATGGTGTGGAAGATGGTGGAGACGATGAAGAGGCTGGACAAGCCAAAGCCATAGATCCAGGCCGAGATGGTCTCCCACTGGTCGTCGGAGAGGATGTAGAGGATGGAGCTGCCGAGGATGCTGGGCAGGATCCAGAACTGGAAGGGAGAAGCAAGCCGGTTGCTCACAACCTACATTTCCACCGAGCAGCTACAGTGAGGTCCCTGCTTTTCCTTTCAGGTGTCTTTTTTTTTTTTTTTTTTGCTTCTGGCCAAAGCAATATCCAGAACCTGTAAGGGGCAGGCTGGGTTTCTCCAAAAGAGCTTCTCCAGGTGGAAGAAGGCACAAGGAGGATGTGTGCCTGCTCCACTAGGGGTCATCCCACAGCACCACACCAGCTCCCCCTGATAGCTGGAGGAGGAAGAAGAGCATCCCTGGAGCACCAGGCCCACCTGCTCATCCCACCCCCAGGACCCTGCAGGGCTGAATGCTGGCATTTTTAGGTAGCTCTTGGGGTGTCCCAGGTGGCTCCACAGGGCTGAGTGCTGTCCTTTACATGGGGACAGGGACAGGGACAGGGACAGGGACTCACGGCGTGGGTGGCACAGTTGGCTGCGTGCTCGTACTCCGTCGGCTGGTACCTGCGGTTGGAGGGGACGCGGTGATTCATGAACCTGCAGCGAGGAGCGAAACGCAGTCAGGAGACAGCACACAGGGGGAAAGATTTTTGGAAGGCTCTGAGCAAAGTGACCCCATGGCAGCAGTGGGCAGGAGGCAGGGGAAAGCCACGAGGACGGATGGATGAGGCGTGGAGCATCCCCCAGGGCAGGGTGTGGGTGACAACCAGCTCCTGTAACGCTGGTACCTCTCCCCATCTCCATTTCACAGGTGGAAAAACAAGCAGCGTGCAGCAACCCGATCTGATTACCCTGCTGGAAACAGCCCAGAGCTGCTGGGCAGAGCCCGGCACAGCCCCACAGCAGAGAATAGGGCGCATGGGGCTGGGGGGGACCTGCTGTGGGGCTGTGACCATCCTGCGATGCCACCCCACGTCACAGCAGCCTGAGTGCCACCAGGGCATCCCCAGTGATGCTTTGGCTGCTGGGTCCCACCTGCGCCCCCCCTGGGACCCCCCCTCATTTGGCCCAGCACTGATTGCTGCCGGGGGAAGCCCCGCCGTGCTCCCTAGGAAACTTTTATCTTTTTTTTTTTTTTTCCTGTTGCTCTGAGGCTGCAGCATCAGATTGCTCTCGGCGCGTGGAGGAACGTATCGATTGCTGCCGTCGGATCAATGGGCGCACGCAGAGCAATAAAAGCAGTGCCAGCAGGAGGCTCAGGACAGCAGGGTTCGGGGACTGCCCTGCAGGAGATGGGCTCATTACTTCCTGACCGCTTTTGCTCCCAGCTCCAGCACGATTTGCAGCAAGTTTCTGCACCCAGCCGGCAGCTTGGGGGGCAACGGGACCTTGCTGCGGGGTTGGGGTGACCCTGGGGTGCTGGGAAGGTGCTGGAAACCCCCCAAAAACCCATCCCTGAGCCATCCATGGGCATCTCCTCTGAGCATTTCACTGGTGTCCATGCAAAGAAAGCCAGCTTATGTTAAAAAATTCGGATAGTGAGGCTTGAGCACGCACGAGGGTTTGGCTGCAGCATGCCCGGGTGTGCGAGGTGGTGCCCGGCAGGCGGCGGTGACAGCCCACGAGGGGACCCTGTCCCCAGCCCTGCACTCACAGCAGGACCCAGGCACAGTGCAGGCAGGAGGCTGGCCACGTCCCCTCCCAAATACCTCGAGTTAGGATGGACAAGCAGGGGCTCAGCTCCCCGTGCGCTGCAAATAGAGGGAACGGCGCTCACAAGGCACGAACAGGATCAGACCCTGGGTACACCAAGGGTGGCTGTGGCTGGGAAGCATCTGAGAGACCCTGGGGCTGCCACCTCCATCCCGGGGGACACTGGGGACCCGTCCCCATCCTGCCACCCCCTGGCTGGAGTCCCCGTGCCCCAGCCACGTCCCCCCTGCCGGAGGCCACTGCTGTCCCCACGTTGCCAGGAGACTGTCCCCAGCTCCCCTTCGCTTTCTGCTTCTCTTTCTTTTCCCTTTTAACAAGAAGAAGAAGGAGGGGGGGGTGGAGGACAAAGGCCCAGACGTCCCGCGTGACGTCGCAGTTGCTGGGGAAACACGCGCAAGGCCTTTTCCTTGAATGTATTTGTTTTAACAAAGCCCTGTGCCATCTGCCCCTCCATCCCCGACCCACGGTGGTTGCTGTTAGGGGCAGGAACGGGGAGCTGGGGGTGTGGGGTGGTTCCCACTGACCCCCCCCCGGGACCCTTGGGCTGAATTCCCTCCCTCACACACACTGCACGGGGCACCCCGCTGTCCCCATGGGCAGCCCGTTTTTGTTGGGGGTGAAATGGCCTCAAAGAGCTTGGGGTTTTGGGGGTCTCTGAGGAGATTGCCCCTATTTTCCTGTCCTGCTTTCTAAGGAGCATCATCGGCCCCGAGGCTCCCAGCACTTTTTTCTCCCACTGCTGGGGGGGACGAGCACCGGTTGTTCATCGCTGCCCCCGGGTTTTTGCCTGCCCTCCTTGTGCCTGCTTCCCCCTGGCCCCTTGCCCGGGGAAAGAGACTGAAAAGGGCCAATGCACCCAGCTCCAGCTGGGGGAACAAAGAGCCCCTTGTCCCAGGCAGCCGGGGCAAAGTGCAGAGCCGGCTTCCCAGGCTTGTCCTTTTCTCCTTCTCTTTCTCCCACTCTGTTTTTCTGTGGGTTTGGGTTGGTTTTGTGTTTTTTTTTTTTTTTAAAGACTTCTCTCCAAGAACAGAGTTCTGACCTCAAAAAATCACGCAGATCCGCCCGGCTCTTGCTTTGCCAGGCTTGGGGGAGAAGAAGGTAGAAATGGCATTAAATTAAATTATTTCTTGGGGCAGCTCATGTGGGAAGCACTGGAGAGCCTGAGCACTCCTGGGGGCACCTGGGGACCCCGACACACTGGGAGTCAGAGCTGTGGGACACCATACAGAAAAGATGACCCATGTGGGAGGCACAGAGATGTTTTATGTCCAGCTAGACGTGTGCCACATCCGTGCATCAAGGCCATGGCTGTGACAAGGGCCCCATAAAGCAGGTGATGCTGGCCGGGAGCTCACAGGTGATGGGAATCTCCCCGAGCAGCTCATGGCCACAGGTTTCACCTGTGGATAGTGTAGAAAAGGGCCAGGTTGGCTCAGACCTTGGTTTAATGTCCTTAGAGATAGGAGCTGGTTTGCTGTGTGTCTGCACCCTCCTGTCCAAGGAGCTGGGGTGTCTCCAGGCTGGGTGAACCAGAAGGCTTTCTCCTTCTTGTGACTGTCAGGACTGCTTTTTGAATAGCTGAGGGATTGTATCCTGATGGTGGCATCCTGCCAGGAAGGATGAAGGAAGCAACAGGTGATGCTGGTGGTGGGGTAAGTCCTGCTGTGGTCCTTCTGGTTGTCCCTTGGTGGAGTGAGGCTCAGGAGCACATGTCTTGTGATGTCTGTGGTGACAGTGATGGAGGATTCGTGGTCCTGCAGGGCACAGCAACCCCTAGACCCTCTCAGTTCATGGTCTGGATTTGCCCTGATGAGCCTGGAGGCAGCACGCCTGGTGCAAAAGCCAGGGCTTGATCCTCAGGTTTGTGCCCATGCCTGAGCTGCTGTGGCATCCCCATAAGCTGGGGCTTGGTGTGTGCTCTGCTGCTGCCCTGTAATCTGGTAATGCTCCAGCTGCGGTCCCTGTAAGAGGCTTCATCCCTTCAAGCTCATCTGAGGCTTGTAATTAGCTCCTGAAGGCACAGAGCAGGGCTCTGCAAGCTGCTGATGCTTTCCACAGGGAAGCGCAGAGGCTGCTGCTGCCTGGCCATCTGCGGAGCCACCCACATGGGTGCTGCGTGGTGCCCTGATACCAAGCTGAGCCCCTCTTCCTGAGCCTGTTTCTTGGTGCCTGCCTGCTCCCACATGAACATATGGTGCTCCTGGTTTGGGAAGCTGAGCTGTGTGTGCTGTGAGCTCTCAGGCTGGCTCCCAGGCTGGGGGAGAGGGGTCAGGCACTATGAACCTCTCCATGGGCTTCTCCTTTTCCTTCTACTTTGACCCCAAACTGTCCCATATGAGCAGGGGCAGGAGGGCTGATGGCACAAGCTGGCACAGCATTTTCTTATGTATAGCTTCCTGGCAGCATGCAGAGAGCTGACAATTTGCACAGGGAGCATCCCAGCTAGAGCAGCTTTTGGGCAGACCACCAGCAGATGACCAGGTTCCTGCAGCCCCCAGTGCGAGCCCTGTTTCCCCAAAGCAAGGTGGATTTTGCTGCAGGTCAAACACTCCCTCACCACCTCTGATTGTCCCATCCCCATTTCATTCATTCCCAGAGCTCTGATACGTGGGGGTGTGCTGGGCTGGCACCAAACAGTCCTTGTGCTGCAGGCTGAGAGATGCTGAGTGCCCCTGATAGCCACAACCATCCATCCACCTTCCCAACCTCTACATAGAGCTATCTATTTTTCTCTCTGGCAGGCTTTCTGCTCTCTCTACAGACAGCCTCTAACTCTTCCAAGGCAATTCACAACCCTGCAACTCCAGCAGAGCCGCTTGTTTATTCGCGACAGATGGGATCGGGGAGTGTTTCCCAAATTACTTCCCGAGCTGGGACTTCTTGTTTCACTTGGTGCTCGTGAGACCTCAGACAACAGCTGATTAGTCACAAAATGACGTCCCAGGTGCCTGGTGAATGTTAGCAGGGCTGCTTCCAGAGCTGAAACCTCTCTGTTATTCCCTGTTTGCTTGCTTGGGAAGCTGTTGTGCATGATCCTCGCTGCATTACCCTGCACACAGGGGACAGTGGGACAGGTCCTGAGCAGGCTCAGTTTGGCTGAGCCCTGCAGCAGCCAGGAGCGAGCACGGTGGCCCCGTGGTGCAGAGGCATGGGGCAGGCTCCAGACTTCATCTCTGGCTCTTTCCTTCTCCATCCTGGCCTCTACCATGCCGTGGGATTAGTGTGTGGGTTGCTGTTCCTCAGGTCTGTAAGGTGTCTCTGTAGCATCCCCAGGGAAACGTAGCCTTGGTCTCCCTGGGGACTCCAGGGTGCTACTGAGCAGATATCTGTAAATTATTCAGCAAATGCCTCTGGGGGATGGTGCATTTCAGCAGGCAGGTACTGTGGTTTCAGGCAGGATTATTTGCATCAAAGAGCAGGGCCCTGATGCACCTGTACCAGCTTGTGCTGCTGAGCACAGAGGGAGGCACTGCCCCATTAGAGAGCTCCCTCTGCACAAATATAAAATCCTCCCCTCACCAGCAGCAAGCCTGGACTCCAAACTTCAGCAGGAGCACAGCCTTGGACCCAAACTTCCCTAAAGCTCAACTAATTGGTGTCTGAAGCGAGCAGCAGGACTGTGATGCTCGTGGTACTTGGCCTCACCATCAGAAGGTGCCGTGCATCACATCAAGTCCCCCTGACCGTGGATTAGGAGAGCTATATGGAAATAATGAGCACTATGGAAACAAATGCTGAGGTTTGGGGTTTGGTTTCACCTGGAAAGCTTCAAGGGGAGGCCTGGCAGAGCCCTGCACCCTGCTGTGCCATATGAGGCAGCGGCTTGTGTTTTCCACGTGCCCCGCTGACTGCTATCTCCTGAAACGGGCCGGGACGAGCTGTGCCAAGGAATCACACCAGGCTGACACCCAACACCTGCTGAGGGATGGAAAAGCCTGTCCTTCCCAGGGGCACGAGGCTCAGCTCAGCCACTGCTGCCCATCTCTGCCTGGCCCTGACCCTCCCAAGGGAGAGGAGTGGGGGGCTTGGGGAGTGCCCCCACCTCCAGCCAGCCATGCAGGTGATGCTCGGAGCACTTGTTGCCTTCCAAACACCAGGAGGCAATAAGAGCTGCCCTCTGTGTGCTGAGAACTGCCAGTAATTAATCCTATCGGTATCCTTAAGTGGGTATCTGAGTCAAACTGCCTCCAAAGGGTGGCTAATAGCTGATTTCTGGTGAGATGGGCTGATCCTGTTTTTCATTAGGTATTTCCAGGGGCCTCCCATCTCCTGGGGAAGCACCTTGCTAGCTGAGGAGGGTGTTGGGGGTCCTGCTGGGCACAGTGGGGACCCCGAGCAGCTCGGAGCTGCCACGCGGATGCTGGAAGCATTTCCCCTCTCCCCGCTCCATCCCACGCAGGCAGCGGGGGAAGCAGAGCTCTTGGAAAGCATCTCTGTGAGCGTGGGAGCAGGCGAGGGCTGTGCAAGCTTTCTTTGCAAAGGAAAACGGGGATCAAATCCTCCCCGTGCAGTAGCTCTGCCTGGGCTGTGAGTGTTTTCTTTGCATGTTTGGGGACTGAGCACCCCGATGTCCCCTCTCCCTCCCTTCTCCTGAGATGCTGGAGGATGGGGTCAGTGATCATCTCCTTGCTCATTACTCAAGGAAGCTCTTCCCAGCTGCCTCCCATCAGACCCAGATGACTTTTTGGGCAAATACAGAGCTCAGCTCTCCATCCCCTCGTGCTGGTGAGGAGGTGGCAGTGTCCTCGCTACGGGCACCAGGCAGGTGAGGACAAGCCTGGAGCCACCTGCAGGGGCTCCTGCTGCTTCTGGACTCCGAATCCACGTGGGTTTTCCTTAGCTTGCAAGGCAAGACAAACAAATGCAGTACGACCTGGAGCCTTTTACATGGGCAAATCAAATCCTGAACTGCTATCAGTTAATTACAATGATTCAGTGCCCCGCGCAGCCTCCAGCTCCCCGCACAGCCCTTGCCCTGGCTGCTCCAGAGCTGCAGGAGCTGCCCAGATGCAGCATCTCCCTCCGTAATCGTGTTTCCTTTCAATTATGGCTCTCACTGGCCCGAGCCTGGGAAGCATTTCGTGTGTCTGTGGGCAGACTGGCTCAGCTCTGCTTGCTGCCTGCATGGCTGGCGGGCAGGCACCCAGCCACGACTGAATCCAGGGTGAAAAGCGAGCCAAGCGGTGATGTGCAGGGGGGATCGCTTACTGGCCCGGGGTGACCCGACCAGGGAGTTTCAGGGATGATGTGACTGGCACCCATCTGTTGCTCTGTGGGGAAACCAGCACGATCAGCTGGGAGAAAGGAGGAGAAATACGGGGGAATAACCATCAGGTGGCTGGTAACATGGGAGGAATTACGGCTACATGCATTCTGTAATGACGTGTTGGTGCCGTGGCTGAAGTCCCATCAGGCAGGGGATGATGGAGATCCGGGAACACCCCGGTGCCCTCCAGCCCTGAATTTTCTCCCCGTGGTTCTCCAATCATTCCTGCATTGATCCCACTGCCTTTCATCTCCTCATTCAAAGCCCGGTGCCTTTGCTGCAGCTCTCACACCACCGGTCTTTCATCGTGACGCCGTATTTTATTTATCCCCATTGGCAGGTGTATTGATGGCCAAGTTCCTCCTTTCTTGGTCCTCTCTCGAAATTAGATAAAAGACATTAAAAATGAATCTGTTCCAGGCTTTTCCATCACAAGGAAAACTTTTGGTGTATTTCTTTTTTTCCAAAGGGCTGAGGAGACAAGAGTTTCTCATCCTTTGAAAAAATAAGCAAGATGCTTTGATGCCTTGAAGGGCACGTGCCTCCTTCATGTTTTGTGCTGCTGTGAGCTTGTGGCTCCTGCTCACACCAGTCCCCATCCCAGAGCCTGGTCCCCAGTATGTGTAGGGGAGCTGAGAGTGCATCCCGGGCACAAAGGGAGGGGGAGATTTGGGGTATTTCTTGAGATGTGGCACAGCAAAGCATCTGTGCAATGATGGGTGCGAGGAGCCTGGAGGGATGGGGATTAGCCACTGGTTATTTTTAAGCACCAGGCTAAGAGGATCTCTGCGGTGATGTAGGAATCTCCAGGCAAACATCACGTGCTGGTGACCACATCAGCGTGCCTTGGGGTGAAAGCCAAGGAATGCCCCATCCCTGTTCCCACCTGGCAGCCCTGGTTCTGTGCGTGGGCTCCTGTGATGCCCTAACACCTGATGCCTCTTTGATAAATTGTCTCCATAAAGGACCACGGTGAGGTTTGAGGATGCTGGTTTGGGAGAAAATCAAGGCTCTAGGCTGGCAGATGGCTTGTGCTGGGGGCAGCTCCTGCTCTGCCCCACAGCCTCCACGGAGCAAACGTGTGGTTTGCCTCCTGCTGTGGGGGCACCGAGCTTGGCTCAGCTCCATCCCCACCACCCCTGTCCTTTGCATGCTAGCTGGGGGAAAAAAGCTTGATTTTTTTTTTTTTCCAAAGGATTTTTGGGCTGAGTGCATTGTGCAGACCTGTTGGCTGCATCTGCCCCCAGTGAAGGTAACCAGAAGGCAGTCACAGCATCAGGCTGGTCCTCAAGCAGGGGCTCAGGCAGCTTTTGGAGGTGCAAGCAGTTTTTTTTCCCCATGGGATGGCTGGAAAAAAAGAGGAGCTGGTGGCTTGGGGAGGACAGGAGGTCACCAGCACAGGGAAACATGCCTCAGGGTGCTTCTGTACGGAGCAACCAGCACCGCTCCTCTCCAGATCTCTTTTATCTGCCTCTAACAGCACCACTGGGAGGTTGGTAGGGGTGAAAGCAGAGCTGAGTGCCCCCAGGGATTTCTCTGAAGCGACAAAAATGTCCCCACCATGGTCACAGGGTTTGGGGACAAAGCCTGTCCTCAGTGCCAGACCCCTGGAAGCCCCCCCAGCACCCTTGCCACACATCGAGTGGCCTTTGGGTCCCGTCCCCCCGCCAAGTAGGTAATGCCAGGAGGTTTCCTAACAGCCCTGGGGAAGGATTTGTCATGGTGCAACCCCTGCCAGCCCCCTAGGAGCCTGAAATCCGTGGGTATGGGCTGGGGGGGTCAGCTGGGTGCAGTGGGACCCTGGGGTGATGCTGGGACCCCCCCATGGGAGCTGGCACCCAGCAGGGGGGTCTGTCCCTGCTGAGAGCTGGGCTCCCGGTGCCCCTGCAGGGGGAGGACAGATGTGAAGTTAAAAATCAGTGTGGACCGAGGGGAAGTCCAGGACCGGTCCTTAAACCCAGCACCAACTCGGTCAGCATCCCTTTGTCTTGGCTGGTGGCTTTTGGGGTTAATTCAGCCAGACAGCACCCCAGCGACCCGCAAATCCCAGCCCCTCCAGGGAGCGAGGGATCCCGGGGATGCTCCGAATCCCTTAGGGAGGCAAAAAGGCAGGCATCCTCATCCCAAAATACACCGTGTGCCCGCAGGTGAAGGGAGCAGCCCGCACCTGCCCTGGGCTTTGAGGCACTCAGCATCTTTTGAAGGTCCCTTAGGGCTGGGTTTGGGATTCGGCTGGAGCCCTGCGGAGGGGCAGGGGCTGGGTGCCGTCCCGGGGAGCTGCCAGCACAGAGCAGAAAGAGAAGGGAAGGAAAACACCATGCTGAGGGCTTTACCTGGCGTAACGCGTCTTCTGGAAGTCCAGGACTCGGGACATGAACATCTCGGCACTGCCATGGGCGTCCCGGGCCGGTGGAGGGATGTAGCCACGGGTGGCTCAACGCGGAGCGAGGCTCCCGGGGGTCTCCGAGCCCCCCGAGGGCAGCGATGCCCTGGAGACCCACGGCAACTTCATGGGCTCCCACTCCAGGCTAGGGTGCTCGTTGGCAGGGCTGAAATGCCGAGGAGGAGAAGCGGAGGCCAGCCTCGCCCCCCTGTTGCACAAGAGAAGAATACAAGGGGAAGGAAAAAAAAAAAGAAAAAAAAAAAAAGGAAAAAAAACACACACACAAAGGCGACCTAAGGGAGGCAGCCGGCGAGGGAGCCAGCCCTGCTCGCAGCCAGCAAATGGGCAAAGATGAGGAGGAGAAGAGAAGAAGGGGGGGGGGGACACAAATCCCGTCCCGCTCCGCCTGGCCGCGGCAACCTGCGCGCTCTCCCTTATCCACCCAGACAGCTCTAAGCACGGCTAAAAATACCCCCTCCTGCCACCCCCGGCGGATCAAATAGCAGCAGTTTGGGATTGAAAACGTAATTAAAGCACGGCGGGGGGATGGAGGGAGCGGCGAGCGGCCAACTGTGGGTCCCAGGTCCGAGGCATCCCCGCCAGCCCTGGGGCAGGGCCAGCCCACCCCGGCATCCCCGGGGAGTTGCTGGGTTTGGTTTTGCTTTTATTTGTTAGATTTGAAGGATTTTGTTTGTTGTTTTCCAGGGCCTCCGGCAGGGCTGGGTGGTTTTGTCCCAGCCTGGGGAATTCGTGCTTGCCTTCATCCCCTTTCTGTCCTCTCCATCATCCTGCAGCCCCCAGAGGACTGCGTGGATGCACTGGGGGGCAGCGAGATGCTGACTTATTTCTGAGGTTGGGATGCTCAGAGGGGGGATGTAAAGGGTTTTGGGGACGTGTCTGCGAGCAGATGGCTGGCATCGTGCCCCCGTCATGCCAGGGACTGTGGGTGCCTTCAGGACAGCAGGTAAGGGACGAGAAATGTGACATGAGGCCAGCAGCACCTGGGGAAGGAGCTCATCTCCCCAGCACAACCTGTCCTTGCTGAGGCTGTAATAATGTTTGTGGGAGGAGGGTGGAAGGGGCACAGACATCTCCACCTGAAGGGTCAGGCTGATGTGGCCACTTCCATGGGAAATCAATCACACGCCTCTCCCCAAAGCTGAAACAATTAAAAATTTCCTAAAGCACACCACTTCCACCTTCCAAATCATGCTTTTAAGGTCTTTTTTTGTGTACAGATGAACTGTAAATCCCTAGAGAGAGGCGCACATGTGCCCCTTAACTCAAGGCACGAATGAATCCCCTGCAACCCCTTCCAAATGAGACCTTGTCCCTCTGTAGGATGCAGAGTGGGGATGCTCTGTGTGCCTCCGTGTGGTGCAAAAGGATCCGGGATCTGGTGGATCCAGCCTCTCCGCACAGTTCCCATCGTGGATCCAAGCCACCTGGGGGGGACCAGGCTGGGGACAGGGGGATCTGGGGCAGCTGAGCCCTGCTGAGGGTGCCAGGTCCAAGGCGCGATATGGGGTGAGATCATTCCCAAACCTCTCCCACGCTCTGCCACTGAGCTGGGAAGGGATTTTTTTTTTTTCAAATTCCTTCCTTCAAGATGACGAGGCTTTGGCAAAGGCTATTTAATGATGCCTGTTCCCTGCTTTACCTTTACTTCGGGCCTGGATGGGGGAGGAAGGGAAAGCAGAGAAAAGCCACATAGAACAAAATAACCCCAGCCCCTGAACCCCCGGCCAGGGGTGCTGGCAGAGGGCACCTGAAGCGAACCGTCAGTCCCGAAATAGATCCGTCTCAGAGGGCAAAAGGCAAATTGAATGAAAAATAAGTTACTATTTTTGAAGCCCGGCTCCAGTTGTTATGGCAACCAAAGCCTCGCGAATCCTGCTGGGGAAGGGCTCCGGCACCAGCGCTGCCTCCAGAACAGGCGGCTGGGTGCTGGTGGGTGCTGGGACCAGTACCAGACCTGTACTGGACCAGTATTAGCCTGGGTGCGTCCCCTCCCCACCTGGAGGCTTCCTTGAGCATCGTCTGGCCACCATGCCTGCTTGTCCTTCCTCCCCCATCCCTGGCTCTGTCCCCACTTCCTTGCAAAGATCTGGTGATTGCTAATGATGGTACTGCCAGTTTCTTAATTAGGAGGGGCTCTGAATGGCAATTTGGTAATGTCACTGAATGGGGGTTCTTGTGTAAATGGAGGAACAGGTCATGAAGCCTCCCCCAAAACATGTAAGCTCCCAAATTGTGCAGGCATCCCACAGCTGCAGACACCTCTGTGCTGGATCCTGGCCGTTAATGGTGTGAATAACCATGATTTTGGGCACTGTGGTGGTGGCACTGGGCTGCCTCATTGCGACCGTGGCTTCCCACGAGGTTTTCCCCTGCATTCAGCCGATGGAGCCAGCAGGTAAGGGAAGAGCTGGAGATGAAATCTGTCATCCTATAACAGCAGAAACCTCCCTGTGAGAGAAGAGGCTCTGTAGGGCAGCAGGAGCTGAGGGCCGGGGGCAGCAGCTGGGGATGAGGGTGGGCGATGGTGGGGATCCCAGGGGGTCCCTTATGCTTTAGGGGGGCACCAGCAGCCTGTGTGGGATGGCTCGTGTGTGGCACAGGTGTGACAGGGGGTGCTGGAGCCCCCCAGTTTCACCAGCCCAAGCACCACAGACACCAGTTCAGGAATCCCACTGGGGCTTGTGTCCCGGATTCATTCCCTCCAGGCACAAGCCTTATGATTTTGATGCAATTTTCCAGATTTTCCAAGTTCCCTCGTCCTCGGTGGTTCGTTTTATCCCCTGAGGAGCCTCTCCCCGCACCCCAGTGCCCCTGGCTGTCCCCCCCTGCCAGCCGGGGCCCCTCAGGGCAGGCCCATTTCGCTGCCCCAAAACCAGGGCACGCGGCCCGCTGTCCCTCTGCTGTCACATCCGCTGAGCCTGGAGGACCTCCGGTGGTACGAGGAGGAACTGCAGAGGCACCGGGGGGGCGGCTCCGTGCAGGGCTGGGCGACAACGAGCGGCCGCTGCCTGGGGACAGAGGGGACAACGGGGACACCGAGACCCCTCACTGTCACCCATCCAGCTGGCGACCCCGCTGGACCCTGCTTAGCTTTACAAAAGCTCCTCCACCAGCAGGCAACGCTGTGCTCCTCACGTGTCACCCATCCACCTCCCTACCCTTGCGGGCCCTGCTTAGCTTCACAAAACCTCCCCCCCCACCACCCTCTCAGCGCGGATGCGGCCCCTCTGCGCGCCTTCACCCTCCAGCCACCCATCCACCCACCGACCCCCCCGTGCCCTGCTTAGCTTCACAACACCCCCCCTTAACACAAGTTCGGCGCCACCACCGCCACCCCGCCGCCTGCGCGGCTCCTCCCCCGCCGGGGGCCGCGCGCATGCGCAGAGGCCGGACGGTGGCCGGCGGGGCGGGAGGGCGTAAACAAGGCGCTGGCGGCCATGGGGAGGCCGCGGGTGCTCAGCGGGGGCCGGGGCCGCCGGGGCTGAGGCGAGAAGAGGCCTGAGGCAGGTCCGGACCGGTCCTTGGTGCAAGGGAGGAGGGCTCCTCCCTGCCCGGCCCGGCCCCGCCCCTAGTAGCCCACCGTCTTCCCTCACGCCCCCGCCGGCCGGGGGCGGTGAGGCCTGTGGCGTCCCGTCATGAACTTGGCCGGTCAGAGCGGCGAGGCCGGCAGCGGGCACCTGCTGTTTGCTAATTTCAACCAGGATAACACGTACGGGGCGGTGGGATGAGGGGTGGGGGGTTTTAAGGGGGGGTGTTAGGGGTGGGGGTGCTGAGGGAGGGGGGGGGGCGGGGGGTGGAGCAGGCCCTGAGGGGGGGCTTTAGGGTGGGAGAGGTGTTGAGGAGGGGGGAGGTCCTGAGGGGGTTCTTTAGGGGGTGAGGGGGGGTCTGAGGGGGTAGGTCTTTGGGGGTGGGGCAGGCTCTGGGAGGAGGGTGTTTAGGGGGGGGATTATTGGGGTGGGGGAGGCCCTGAGGAGGGGGTCATTGGGGCTGGGGAGGCTCTGAGGGAGGAGGGAAGGTCCTGGAGGGGAAGGTGCTGACGGGGATTCTTTAGGGGGTGAGGGAGGTTTGACAGGGTAGGTCTTTGGAAGATGGGGCAGGTCATGAGAGGGGGGTCTTTAGGGTGGGGTGTCCTTGGGGTGAGGGAGGGCCTGAGGAGGGGGGAAGGCCCTGGAGGGGGAGGCCCTGAGGGGGATTCTTTAGGGGGAGAGGAAGGTCTGACGGGGTAGGTCTTCAGGGTTTGGGGCAGGCCCTGTTAGGGGGGTCTTTAGGGTGGGGGAGGCCTGAGCAGGGGGTTCTTTAGGGTGCAGGATCTTTAGGGCAGGGAAGGCCCTAATGATGGGGCCTTTAGGACAGGAGAGGCCCTGAGGAGCCGGACATTTCTCACACACACCACTACCACCAGCACCCCCTGCTGCTTCCACCCCATCCCACTGCAAATGCTCCCCTCACAGCGTCTGCCCGAGCTGCCCCGTTGTGGGGCTGGGTTTGCTTTGTCGCTGCAGGAGGGGGTAGGAAGGATGGCACATTCCCCCACCTCTTTGCCCCCAGGCTTGTGTGTGGAGCTGCAGGGTGCGAGGGTACGCTCGTGGGGATGTGCAGCTGAGAGTGAAGGCGCTGCTCGAGCTGGGCTTGCTGCACGGTGCCTTCCCTCTCGTCCTGGTTGTTGCCCAGGGGAGCTCAGCCTTGCTCTCTAGCACTTCAGGAGCGATAGGGAGGGTGCTTTGTGCTTAGTGCTGATGCCCAGCCTGTAGGAGAGACCCAGGTCTCCTAGGAGCTACCAGATATAGTCCCAAAGCTCACTGGTGCTGTCTTTTCATACAGCCCTTGTCTTTTCACCTGCCTTCTCTGGTGAAGCAGCATGCCTTAGGTGTAAAGGTATTTTTATGAGCTCGTTCTTCTTTTGGGTTTTCATTTTGAAAGAGGTCTTTCTCATATGGTCCTTGAGCTTGCATTTAGCTTCCGTAATTGGTTTCAGTCTACAAAGGATCAGATTGTTCATGCTACACATCCTGCTGTTACTTGACAGTCTCAGTACGTTTGCATCAGAGCATAATAATTCATCTGTGGGGTATTGAAGAGCGATGCTTTTCATTTCAAGAACTGCTGGTGGTTGGAAGCAGAGCACTGGAGAAGGATTTGGCTGTTTTAAATATCAGTGAGATGAAACCAGTGGGAAGGAACCAAAAGGACTTGTGAAAGGAGGAGTTTTATTTTAGGAAGTGAGTAAGAGGAAATGATCTCAGGTTGGCATCACTGAATGTAATCCACATGTGCTGTGGTGACTTTTAAACAACTTGTTTGTTAGTCTTACAAGCAGTACCTTGCCCTTGTGAAAGCTTTGGCTCTCTTCATCGTGGATTGTAGCGGGTGGGGATGTTGAAGGCCAGAAGACTGGAGCAGGGTCACACCAAGGAGGGCAATACCCTGCTTTTGTGGGTTATGGTGGAGATTCTGGGGTGGAGCTGAGCAACTGGAGCTGGATAGACCTGAGGCAGGAGACTTTAATGTATGATAAGTGACAGGGTAGAGGGAGAGAGTCTTCTGTGCATTTGTAAGTAACTCATTACCAGTTCAGTGTGTTGATTCAAAGACTTCTCCAACTATTCTTCGTGTTTTTCATCGAGTACCACGCACAGCTCGCTGTCATTCCACGTATGAAGCGTGCCCATGCTGTGTTCAGATACCATCCATTTTTTACCCATTACCAGATAAAACCAAGTCATCACACCTGGCAAATCTGTCACCTGTTTCTGCTGTGATTTATAGAGGTCATTATAGAAGTTCTTGAGGTTCACTGTGCTGTCCCGCGTGGTGTTCTAAAAGCTTCACCACTTCTTCCTTAAAGCAACTGCCTGGTTTTGGTTGCACCTTACCTTTGGTGAGAGCTGTATGTATTTACGGGTCACTGAGTTGTGACAAAAAATATACATTTCTTCTGAACAAAACAGTGCCAGGCTTGCCTTCAGACCAGACCTGAGACTGAAATAAAACAGAAGTAAATGTAATATAAATTTATCTAGGCCTTCCTTAACTTGTACACCTTGAAACATTTCTCTGTGTGATTTATTTTTAATTTTGAGTTAGGAAGATGGGGAAGGACAAGGGAGTAATAATTTCCTTCTTTTCTAAACCTCAATTGTGTAACTTTGTTATTTTTCCCATGTCCTTTTCAAAAATACCTGAAAGTATTACTCAGTTTCTGTGCTACAGCCCATTTGGTTTTGGTATTCAGCATTCGAATGTCGATTGCGTGGGCAGAACAAGCTCTGTGTGTGTCTGTGTGTTTATGCGTGTGTGTAGATAATATATGTACAACACCCTGAGATATCTGAGAATTTGGTGGTCATACAATTATCTTACATGATCCTAATCTGGCCTGTATGTCTCTGTGATTGAAAATCTTGGAGTACTAAGTCTTGTCATCCTAGTATCTTTGGGGGTTTTCAGACATCCATTATAGAGACTATATAAATAGGAAAAGGCTCCTGTTCATATTGTTGTCTTGAAATCATGAGGAATAATTTAAAAGGTCACTTTGAAACAAAGGAGGCAGATGGATGATGTGAAACAGGTATCCTGTCTTTCTGGTAGTGTCTCAGAAGAAATCTGGTCAAGAAAAAAGTGTAAAACTGTAAGCTTTACACATGTTAAACTAAAGTTTTTGATGATTTATCATAGGTGGGAAAACATAAATATCTCTTAATTTCTCGTTTGAATAGCGAAACAAGCGGTCAGCCGCCTGGGTTTATTATCATGCTATTATCAGTATCTAGAAGGTCACTCTTTACTGGGTGAGAAGAGCTGAAAAGAACTAACTGGGAATTAACTACTTTCCCATGCTGGGCCTCAGAAAGCTGACTTAGTTTAAATTTGTATTCCAAGTAAAAGAAGTCCTTTTTGAGCCGGGCAAGGTGAGCAACTGCACGCTGTTTCAGTCAGCACGTGCAAGGCAAGCTTTGTTTACATCTCACCAGCCAGCAGGGCTCACATCACGTTTTAAGGTGTGTTCCAGCAATTAGAAAACTTGCTGACAGACAGAACTGGACAAAAATAACAGGGGTGCGTTGTTATTGCAGTAAAGCTTTTACCTCTAGCAAGGTGCCAGCTCCACGCCTGCTCAGATCCGCCTGGCTTACCTAGACAGCAGAGCCAGTTGCTGTGCATCAGAAAAAAAGATCGTAGTTCTTGCTGGTAAGAATAGGTGTCAGCCTAATCTTTTCTGGGCTTAATGGAGGATTTGATAATTAATTACTGCCTCCTGTAGGAAGGAGGTGAGCTTAGGGATGGGTTTTACTCCCGAAATTGGCTTGCTGGTACTTAAAAGAATATTGCCAACAGGAAAGTTGCTGTAGCTTTTCAGTCACCTGGAATTGCAACAACTGGGAAATGTTTTATCCTGCTTTTAGCTTTCTATTTTTTCCTGCTTAAGTTCTTTTTCATGTTCATTCATAGGTGCTCTGTGTAGTGACATTGTCTCGTGGCGTAGTATCTGTTACTACAAGGGGTGTCATGCCTCTTTACTCTGTGTTGCCTTCAGCTTTATTTACTTGAGGGTTTTGAATTATTGGCTGGGACTGGAACTCTGCCTGAAAACACTCCACCTCTAAAGCAGAAGCGGCTGGTTTGTGGGTTCTCCTTGATAGAATACGTTTTCATTAAGCAAAAACACAGAGAAGGTCACTTCCAGCCGATGTTTGCGTGCTCCTTTTGGGCCATACGCTTCTCCCTGTGAATCAGTCATTGCACAACTTGGCCCGACGGGCACTCGGAGAGGCAGAAGCTCCAGCTCGCAGATAAAAATGAAGCAACTGGTTGGGAGTCAGGAGTCCTAGCAGAACCGGGCAGTAGGAGGGTGTCGGTGACCTTGGTGCTAGGTATGTTTCAGCGGTTGCAAATCTTTAATGATAGATATTTGGTAAGAGTGCTGCTTCAGTTTGAGTGCTCTTCATGTTACTTCGGGGAGAACTATTATGTTACACAGCTCCTTTATGCTCTTTAAAGCTTACATGTGTCTGTGAGGTGAGCTTAAGTTTTTGTAAATGTATCCGTGTCCAGCCTCATGAGAAGTGGCAAGCTTTTTAACCAAAACATAACGTGAAGATTTCAAAGTTTACTGTCACTTTTAAAATTGGTGAAACTGTCTTTACGTTCTTACACAAACATTCCCAGAGAAATGCTCTTGGAAAAAAAAAAATACTAACTTAAATGGTCTTCAGGTTCTATTTACACACACACAAAAAAGTGACATAATGCAATCAACAGATTTCAGAGAAGCTTTAATCACCTTTTTAAAAGAAAGTAACCAAGAAACAGCACTCAGAAACAAAATAGTCACTATAGTTTTGAAAACAGACTACTCACAAAAGGACAAAACAAATCCTTGTGCTTGGGTTCCTAATGAAAACATCGATAAGCCTCATTTCCAAGGTCAGCATTAATCTCTGCTTCCATTTATGTATGGAGTTACATGGGACAAGTATTGGTCCATATGTATGTTCCTGCTGATTAAATGCTGCCCCCCCTTTTTTTTGCCTGACTAAGTCTATTTAATTCTGTGTTCTAAGCAAACATTCTTAGTTCTAAAGATATATAGCATGCTTCTTGTTGCGGAATTTTTATTATAAGTGCCATGTGATATTTGTATTAAAAGTGTCTTCATTTTTATCTTTGAACCACTTGTGGTGAGAGGACCAAGGGTTGGGCACTCAGCATTCACTTCTCTGCTTTTATTTCTCCTAGGTTCAGGTGTCATTCATTTGTGGTCCTTGAGGACAGCAGAGAGCTTTATTCTGAGGAGACTTTAAACAGAGAAGGAAGGAGAGAGAGAAAGATCACGTAGCTCTTGTGTTCAGGAAAGATAGCTGAGAGAAGCAATTGCTTGTCATGTTGCTTGCTGTTGTTGCAGTGGGAATATCAGCAGAGGTGGGCTTGCCTAATGGTTCTGGCTGAGAGGCTGTTGTGCAGTGTGAGTGTGGACAAACGTGTTCTGAAAGTAGTGATGTTTGCTTGGAGTATGAATTTTCTGTTATCCCAGCCTACTGCTCTATGTTAAGTAATGGGCTAGTGAGGTTTCCTTTTGCTGTAGCAGCAAATCTGTGGGATTTTTTTTTATAATTTAAGAGCAATGGGAAAAGCTGTAGGTTTTCAGTGTTCCTTATAAATCTGTTGGAATGTGTGGGCTTCTGTGTTTACCTCCTATCCCAAATACTGATGTTCTTGACCTCTCTGTTGGGACATACCTATAAGATGTTACAGCTTTGATTCCAGCAGCCATTTGAGAGGCAAAAGTTAAGTAAGCTCCTCCAGTAATTCTGTCCTTATGTCATTTCATTGTTTATTGTTTTATTATTCTTTTCCCCCTCTCCATCGTAAGCCTTTGTTCACCAAAGGCTTCTTCCTTATAGAAATTTACATTGGATTTGAAATGAGTTGGAACATTAGTATAATGAGACAGCATCAGAATGAAAGTAGGTTTAATTAACCAGTTATTTAAAATAGCAATAACTTCTGGAGTCATGTTTGTACTGCAGCTGCAATTGATTTTAATCTTTGAGACTTGCCCTTAGTAGAATCATCCTGATTAACGTAGAATCTTTCTGATTAATAATTAAAGTCCTCTATGATATGGAAAGGGGAAAACTGGTTTTCTTTCTTCTGTATGTATATTAAAGAAGCGAAAGAGAACCTGTACCACTTTCTAACCCATCTGAAAAAACTTGTTCTAAAATAGCTGGAGAGATGGAACCAGCTGATTTCCCACTCTAGGTGAGTGCACTTAGAGAGAATGTCAGCTCCTTGAAATGAATGTGTGAAACATCTCAAAGCACTGGTTGCCTGATGAGGTTAGTTTTAATTATTTATGACAGCTGCTCTTGAAAATGCTTTCAAGATTTATGTAATCTTGGATCAGACAACAGTATTATCTTTGAAAAAAGCGAGTAAACACGGTTTCATAAATCACAGCTATATTGGTAATTTTGTACTGAGTAGAAAACCTTGATGACGAAATGGCTCAAAGTCTACAAATCAGGCTTGTAATAGAGGCTACACATAATAGGCTAAAAAATACCGGTGTGGCATAATGTTAGAAGAAAAAAGGCAATTTTTTTTTTGGATATTGATTTTATTTTCAATTTCAGTCTCTCCTCAGCTTCTGAAAATTGGTGATAATAAAGCAGAACACCCGCACTGTAAAAGGAGATTCTGATAAACTACAGTATCTTCTTGTTGGCCACTGTCCATTTGAGCACTAGCTGAATGGCTTATTGATCATTTTTCTTCCCATATGGCTGCACATTTTTAGGAGGTGAGGTAATTTTGCCTAGATACTTGTTTTGTGGGATTTGGTCATTTAGATAGCTATTGAGTGTCTTAAGGGCTTAAGTGTAATATTGGTGTGAGGGAAGATGGGGGATTTAAATCATTATGATTACACCAGTATAACTTAGCTGAGTGGATTCTCTTACTACGTATAAAAGGCCCTTTTTTCCCAATAGTTTCATAAGAAGTAATTTGAGAGTGCCTTAAAGAAAGGAAAGGGGGGAGGGATAAAAAGCCCTCCAAAAGAATGCTGTTCTAGAAGGAAAATGGTTGGTCTTGTAGTTATGCTTGTGTATTGAAACAGGTTTAATTATGCTGACACAAACTGAAACTTTGCTGTTTAAACAGATGTTTTGTGACTTCACCATCACCTTGATCCAGAAAGAAATGATAAAAAGCAGTTGCCATGGATGGAAAGATCTGTTCTGTGCCTTCATTCTTTAGGCTTTTACTCAGTCTAATGATTTAAATGGAGTGTAGGTAGTCAGTAGGACGAGAAAAATGGGCTTCTTGGTTTCAGTGATACTGTCACTAACTCAGTGATGCAGCATTATTTGGTGTTTAAAGCTATAAATACAGTGCAGGAATCAACTTGGTAGCTGTTTTAATATATTTTCAGGCAATCTGGAATTCTGCACAAGGAATCCATCCTATGCCTTTTGTAGATTGTTTATATTGCAAGGAGTCTTGTGACACCATTTATTTTTAACTCAGATGAGTGCTTGTTTACCTCTGAAGTGACAGTTCTAATGTCATTCTGTGTTAAACTTTCTTTTGAGGGAAACAATAGATGAGCTAAGAAAAGCAGATGCATAACTTTTTTTTTTTGAATTGCATTTTCATGTTTTTACAGTTTGGATTTTCATTAAGTTATACAAAAGTAGTTGAGAAAAACAATGCAGTGTCTTCAGCAACTAATCAGATACAGCCTGCAGAACGTACCAATTTTGCCTGAATAAATTTATTTTACTATATGTAATACTAAACGTATTACAAGGGTGACTTAGAGGAGCAGCAACAAAATTTGGTTTTATCATAGCTGTGCTATCTCTAAGCCTAATATCTTTTTTCCCCTGTTGTGATTATTGCATCTGGAGAAGCTTATTTCTCTTGCCTAGATGGTGCATCTTTTAATTTGAGGGTTTAAATCTTCGTAAGTATAATTTCTTAACCAGACTGTTCCAGTTTATGTGGTTTTGTTTGTTTTGTTTTTTATTTCACTAGCAGAGAACATTATACCATCATGCAGAAGTTGATTTTATAACTTGGGATCTTAATTTTGGAGGATAAGACATTTTAGGAACAATTTTTAATCTTCTAGGGACCTTGAAGTCTAAAATGGGCTCACTTCGGAGCCGTAAGAAAAAATACATGAAGAGCAAGAAATCGGTGGATCTGTGTTGTAAATGCAGGACTAATTATTAGTGCATCTGAAATGTGAAGCATCTTGATGGGCTGGGGACAGTTTGGCATAGTGATGGGCAGGACTGCATCTGAGTGTTTTATTGAATCGCCACAGTTTGGCATATTGAAATGCAACTTGCAGGAAATTAATCAGTTTATTTCCATATGTCATGACAGTAAAAAAAAAATATATATATATGAACTGTAAACATAGTGACACACTTCTGTATAACTGTATTTACAGCTGATTTTCTTCTTCTATGTCATAAAATCATCCTTCACGTGGAGAGGGGAAAATAACGTGCCACTGACCGCTGCTTTGGTGTTTAAAGAGCTGCAAGATGAGCCTAAAGGTTTTTTTTAGCAAAAAATTTAAGACCTGTCTTTGACTGGAAAAGCAATTGGTCTATGAGCTAAGTGTGAAAATTGAGTAATGGTGGAAAGAAGAGCTCGTAGCCTTTTTTTTTTTTAACATTCTATTGTTAAAATCTGTTTAACATCAGCGACTAGCGTTTCTGAAAGAGCCTCTGATTAAAGATTCAGCATGAGTATTTGTACGACTGAGACGTAACAATGTTCTGCAGAGATGCTAGAATAGCATCAAGTAAAACCGGAGAAAATTAGAGCTGGCAGTATTTAATTCCTTTTTTTTATATGAGAACTCTCTTGGGGTGGTTGATGAAGGTTACAGTATAAAGTGCAAAAAATCCCCAGACAGTCTCACTTGAAAAGGTCTTGCAGGTCAGCTCTCATAGTGAGGCAATGATGTAATTGGTTTGCGTTACAATATTCAAGTCCTCTTCCCTCCACGCTAAAGCTTTCAGTTTGCAGGGAATTGTGTAGAGAAATCACTGGTAAGAGCTGGGCAGTAGGCTGTAAGCTGTGAGCTGTAATGTCATCAAATGTGGAGTAGGATTCCACACCTGGGGTAATTCTGAAGCTATTTGGCCTCTTCAGAGTTCAGGAAATTATCTGTCTGGTGCTTTTTAATCACTTTCTTACTGAGCTAACCTAGCTGGAGGTGTAGAAGAGGGTAAGAATCTGTCCAAGGGTAATTCACAGCTGATGTAGTTTATGTTCCTGACGGACTTGTTTCTTTTACAGATCCCTTGCGGTTGGCAGTAAATCAGGCTACAAATTCTTCTCTCTCTCTTCTGTGGACAAATTAGAGCAGATCTATGAATGCAGTGAGTATCTTCTTTTTTTCTTTTTTATTCCCTTGGTTGACTTTAGGAAGAGATGACGTTTCATTTTTTCATGGATTGTTGAAGTCACATGAGAAGATCCTTAAGTGTATGATGAAATAACAAACACGAAACAATTGCTGCTAGCAGGGCAAAACATTGCCAGTGTTATATATTTAAATTTAGCTGGTGTCCTGTGAAAATTGGTAATAGCCAAGAGAAAAACTCTTTGCTTTTCTGATTTTTATGACCAGTAGTAAGGTTACATAGCATCTGGGTATAAAAAAATCTGCCTGTGCAGGTGGCTTTTGGGTCTTTATACTGGCTGTTGGGGCAGGCAACCGCTAATACACTTTAATCCAAAAAAAAAAAAGCTTTATTTTTTTTAAATCCTAATCTTTGAACGTGATAGCTGCAACTTTACTCATCCAAAATGTTGAACTATCTAAATTCCAATAACTGATCACCATAAAGTAGGATATGAGATGCCATGGAGGGAGGCCTTGGGAAGTGGTATCCCCTGTTTTGCCAACTGTTCATCCTCTTTTTTAGTTTTTTGAGATGACAGTGAGAATCCTGGGAATGTTATGCATGAGCATCCATACTTTTAGTATAAACTTCATGTGAACAGTGCCCATGGCTGTGATGTCAGTGTTTATGCTAGGATCCTACTGGATCATGCCACGCAACAGAGTGGTCTTCAGACTTCATTCCCTGTGACCTGACCCCGTGGCATCTTAAATTTGAAAATGGTGTGTGACTCAGATCACCTATTATCTCTGGTGACAGCCTGTTTCTGTGTACAGTTAATGGAGAGAAGTAATTGTGGAGTTCAAATTAGGTACCCGTGGTCAGGTTAAATTGCGTTGCAGCTCCATCTGCCTGCTTGAGTCACGGTCCGGTTGTACTGGTTAATGGGTGCCTTGAATTCCATTTGGGGCTGTTGAATTTAGGTACCTGACTTCTGTAGCATGGTAGGCACTTGGAGTATCTGGCCTGATATGACCCCCAAAGGCTCGGTGAAGATGATTCCTGTTACGTGAGACACTGAATAAACATACTGAGGGAGGCTGAACTGAACTTCACAGAGCTGCTGCTTCTAAATAGTAATTGAAAGAAAAAGTACAAATGGGATAAAGGTTGCTCATAGGGCATACATCGAAGTGTTTGACTTTTTTTTATATGCCGCTAAATAATTTTCAGTCTGGGGCTTGCCAGCTGTGCATGTTCAAGGCTGTAACCTTGGCACAGGGCTGGAGGGTGTCCTGTGTTCTGGGTACCTCCGGTCAGCAAGGAAAGGTATTTTAAGGCCTCGCCATCACACATGGCCCCTCAGTTCACTTTGTAAGGGGTTCTGAAGACTTAGCATCATTTTGGGTGAGCAGTTTTAAGGACCCTTCTCTTGCATGTGGTTGGTTTACAAGTTTTCAGGTAGGTGACTGAAGTAAGCTATAAAATATACTCTAGATGTCCTGTGTTTGAAGGAACAACTGAAAAGAATGGAAAGCCTCTTTGCTCCCATCACTGACTTTTACTGTGACTATAAATCACCAAACTCCCTGCTCAGTTGATCCATCTGTAGAAAAAAGTATTATATCAGAGGGTGCTTTAAGGCTTAATGAATGTTTATAATTTGCTTCATGTTCCCGGATTAAAAATGAAATAAAAGCACAGCTGATCGTAATCTAGCTGGTTCTAACCAGCTCTTGTCTGTGATGCTGCATGCTTGTGTTTATGAAACTGTAATCTTGTTACGTATTTGCTTGTTCTTCCCTCGCTGCCGCTGCTTAAATCAGTTTGCAGTTCTGCTCTTTGTTCTTGCTGTGTTTTCGGTCTGAGTTGCTGGTAATCCTCACTTGCATGGCATAAAGGAGAGAATACAAACGGGGTGAAAAAGAAAACCTGATGAGCAGCATTGCTATAGAACTTAACTGGTGCTATTAAAAATATGATTAATTTAGGTCAGCTGGACATAGGGTGTGCAGTACAGCCTGGTACTTCACTCGAATGGTTGCTCATTAGGAGGTGTACATGACTTGGCAGTTGTGAAGGGATTCTTTTTATCACTCCTTCCTGTTAGGGGAAGACAAAGGAACAGGGGTGCATCCTGTATTTTTAAAGTGAATTTAATTAAAAGATTATCACAAAGACTTTCTCTCAAAAGTGACCGTATTATAGTGTAATAAGTCTCTTTATGATGCAACTCCAGGCATGTCTCCACTTTTTAGGTGTTTTCCTTGTTGAAAACTTGGGGGGTTTTTTGGTTCTGTTTTTTTTTTTTTTTTGCTTTGCCTGTAGCAGCTTAATTCTTGACAGTGCTCCTGCATGCCTTCCTTGCTGGCTAATCTGCATCGGTGCAGTGTGGGACAGCACTTCTATTTGATCTCTGCTATTGTTCCTACTCTGAAATACCAGTTCTCCTGCCTTCCTGGGAGTGAAACAAGTCCCAGCAGCTGTCTCTTAACGTGGTTGCCCCTGAATGGGAAAAGAAGCTGAGTATTCCACCTAGCCCCCAAGGAGCGGGGAGCAATCAGACTCTGTTTTTGGGTCTTCATGTGCCGGTCTTCTCTGTCTCTTGTAAAACGATGCCATTAGTACGAAGGACTCCAAGCTTAGATGGAAAACTGATAACCTGTGCTGTAAAATGTTTGAGAGCCTTTTATGTTACTTGCCTGGTTCAAGGAGCACAGAGTTTTGCATTTAGAAGTCTGTGCGTGTGGTTATTGAAGTGGATTTTTATATTATTCTTTTTCATGTGTTGTGTGTGACATCAGGAAAGTGGAGAATAATTCCTTGAAAACAAAGTCGTTTCTAAAACGCATTATCCCTCTTGCGAAAGTGAGGAAATTGAATTTTCAAAGCCTCTGTGAACAGTTTTGTCTTCTTTGGAAAAATACCATATTGTTTATTAGATTTGGATAAAAGTCAATTATGTCGCATGGAAGACTGAAAATGCGTAGTATAAACCTGCTGCTTTGCCACAAGAAGGCTCTTGCTTCTTTGTGCTCAATCACTCTCGCTCTCATGTACAGAATTTAAATATTTTCAGTTCTTTTTCTTGAAATAACTGCTTTCTTTGGGCGCTTTTAAAACAGATGTATCTCATTGTGGTGGCATTGTAACACGCTGAGAATGTAAGAACTTTTTTCAAGGATTTCTTGTCATAGGTGATGAGAACAGTGCCAACTGAAGCCTTCAGAAATAAGGTTACTTATTTATGTATTTATTTTCTGGCAATTTTACTGTTTGAGACACATTAAGCATTGACCTAATCCAGACACCGAGTTCTGAGAAGTTTGGTTGTTTCCACGGATCAATGCCAAAGGCTCCAGTTGCTTGTCTTGCTTCAGCCCTGTAAGGGGAGCCCTGTAAGGGCAGATGTAGCCAGCAGCTGCGGGCGAGCTGCAGAGGCTGGGAAAGCTCCCCTGCTTTCTCATGACATGCAATAGTTTTTTGCACATTCTGCTTTAGTCTCAAAAGCATACGTACGGCTAGCTCTGTGTCTGACTGCCATTCATCCAGCAAGGGAGTAGGCTCTCAGTTTTCTTTGACTTTTCAAGTACTCGGAGTGCCACCATAATGGTTTGAAGTGTGTTTGTTGATTGCCTAGAGTGCTGTGAAGACTGTCTGGGGGGCTTTTGGACGAAAACTTCACGAGGAGAAACACAAGTGCTGGGGTAACTGGTGGTGGGGCTTCAGAACAAATGAGATTTCCAGCTTCTTTGAGTAATCTTTTTTTTCCTTCATGGAGACGTGCAGAAACTTTTTTGTCATCAGAAATATTTCTGTGTGTAGCATTGCCTTAGGGGGAAAAAAAAAGGAACACCTATGCTTACCTAGATTTCTTCAGAGATTAGAGAAGATTATAAGATTCTGGAACTCGACAACTTGATTTTTGGTCTCCTTGATGTGTTTTTTTCCAGTTGCATCTTGGCACACCAGGGAGTAGACACTTCTCAAGCACAAACTTTTATGACTCCTGGGGAAAAAAATGGCCTTTGTGAATTGGCATTCACCGGGTAGATTTTCTGCTTTAGAAACCTGTCCTGCATCCCACCTTAACTCTGAGCTGTTGTGCCAGAATGTTTGTTCTTAAACTGTATTTTTCTTAAACGATATTTCCCATTAATACATACACATCATTGTCCTTCCCTGAAATCTCACCTGTTTGTTTGCCTTCCCTTCCTGTGATTCCCCAGCTGACACAGAAGATGTGTGCATAGTGGAGAGGCTGTTCTCCAGTAGTCTGGTGGCCATAGTCAGCCTTAAGGCTCCACGCAAGCTGAAAGTTTGTCACTTCAAGAAGGGGACAGAGATTTGCAACTACAGTTACTCCAATACCATCTTGGCTGTCAAACTCAATAGGCAGGTGAGTGATAATTTGAGTGAAAACAAGGGGAGGGGCTGTGGATCTTGTGCTGGCACTTTCTGGTGGTTTTTCCTTGGGTGACAGAATTGCTATTTGGAATTAATCTTTACTTTTCCACCTGTAGCTTCTGTAAAATTTTGTGGCATCTGAGTAACGATATTTGATTAAGAATTTTTGGTTCTGTGTTTGTCTGTTTCGTTAGAAAGAATGTCATGAGTAACCTGGTCTGACCTCATGGCTGATCCTGTTTTGAGCAGGAGGTTGTCTGGAGACCTGCCACGGTCCCTTTCAGCCAGAATCGTCCTGTGATCCTAATTGTAAAAGTAGCTGAAGCCAACAGCTTCTGCTCAGGACAAAACTTCAAATTCTGTTAGCTTTTTTGTAACATTTTTAAATATAAGTTGAATTTTTAAGAAAATGGTATCACTGAATTGGAGAAGTCTTTTGAGTAGGGTGGTGCTAAGTAGTACTAAGTCATCGGTAGGCTCTTCTGCAAATAATTTTCTGTCTTTAACCGTGTCACTCAAAGTAGAGAAAATGGCATCTGAAGGATGAAATTATCTTAATGTCCATTCCCACTCTCAAAATCGGGGATGAGAGAATGGGACTCCTGTTTAAAATCATAAGGGACAGGGTGGCTGAGTTGACTTCTGGCATCATGAGGTAGTGTTAGAGTAACAATGTTTTTTGAGACAGTCGTCCAGATGTAGTCACCAAAGGGTAAATGAGATGCTGAAGAACTTAATTTAAAACAACAAAAAAGTCCTCACAACTGACTGTGAGTAATTACAAATGAGTGTGAGTGAGTAATAGGGTCTATAAATGGGTTTAAAAAGCCTTGTATATTTTTGTTTAGCCAAAGCAGGAAATTGGGCCCACATGTGAATTGGCCTCTTGGGGGCGGGGAAATACATATGGGCAGGTAAAGAATAAGAATGAAATAGGTGTAGATGAAGGTTTCTGGCTTGCTGACTTGATCTAGTAATACAAATAACTTTCGTTTAAATCAATTTGCACTAGCATGGTTGAGAAAAGTCGAGTGCACTGGTCAGTTCAAGTGACCGAGTGTAGTATTGCGCTGTTGAAGCCTTGCCAAGAGATGTATCTTGTGCATCTTCTGTCAGACTCTTATTCCTTCCCATCAGGTGGGTACAACCTTTTCTGTATTGGAAGGTGCCTACTGCATTTTGGATACAAATTTTTTTTATAGGGTCGATAACTCCGTATAAACTCTCTTTTCATGTCACCATTTCATCTTCCCCACATCTAGAGGCTGATAGTATGTCTGGAAGAGTCTCTATATATACACAACATAAGAGACATGAAGGTGTTGCATACAATCCGGGAGACACCTCCCAATCCTGCAGGTAAGGCAGTCCTGTTTTCAGAGGCTAGTGTTACTCTGAAAAGCGTGTTCTGTCTGCACATGACATTTTCAACATGGAACTGTAGCACTCTTAATTCTATTTTCAAATTAAAGTTATAAATAAATATGTGAGCATTGGCTTAAAGCCTACCCATTCGATCCAACGGGGCTTCCAAGAACAAACAGCAGACTGCCTTAAACAGCTTTCTCCCAGTTTTCTAGTCTCCTAGTGCTTATGGTTACAATCTTAGATCATGAGGAAGCAATACAGATACTTAAAAGCTACACATTGCCAGTGCTTGGTACAGATAAAAACTATGTCAGGTTAAGGCTTTAGGAGTCAGGGCAAACTTGGGAATTTCTTCTACTTCATTGGTTACTGTAGTTCTGACAGTATTATACTTTCTATTAGGCTTTGTTAGTAATTGTGTTGAACAGATGCATTGCAGGTTGGCAATCGATATTTTTTTCTTCCCTGTTCTGTGTCTGTTGGTACATTGAAGAATGATTTGAGTTGATCTTTGCAATATTTGAACATAGAAAGCTTTGTTGTGTAAGTTTTAGAATTTGCCTCATTCTAACCATTGTTGGTTTTGTTTTTCTATATTCCCTCTAGGGTTGTGTGCTTTATCAATAAATAATGACAACTGCTACCTGGCCTATCCAGGGAGTGCAACTATTGGAGAAGTGCAGGTCTTTGACACCATCAATCTGGTAAGGGTCTTCGTGCATGCTGTTTCCATTTCTAAAGATGCAGTTTTTGGAAATAGTTTCAATTGCTCAGAGAAGAATTACTAGGCACTTGTAATTGGTCCATCCATGACAATCTGCAGTATCCATTTTACCTAGGTACCCATTATACCTAGGCATCACAGAATGTCAACAAAGGAAAGTAAGACTACTAGCTTTGATGAGAAGAGTTGAGCAAATGGGTGGAGCAGATAAATGGACAGTCACTTTTATTTGAATTGTCTTTAAGTAGCCTGCTACCACTTGAACTTTCTATGCATATGCTTCAGTAATAATTTTGTGTATTTTGCTTAGCAGTTACTGAAACAGATTGAAGCAGTTGTCCGTAAATAAGGCTCATACTTGTCCTGACAGCTCTTGCATATGCAGGCTTAAGCTGTGAACATGGAGCTTTTAACCTGTGCTTTACTAAGGTTCTTTTTTATCGTTTTGCTCCTGCAGAGAGCTGCTAATATGATCCCAGCTCATGATAGTCCCTTGGCTGCTTTGGCTTTTGACGCAAGTGGTACTAAACTTGCCACTGCATCAGAAAAGGTAAGACGTCCTTTTATTGACTTGCCGGCAATGATAAACTTACTTAAAATGGTCTAAATGAGTTTCATTTTTAAGCCTGCACAGTACCATGTGCAAGTACCAAAAAAAGTCTTAAAGTTATAACAACAAATCTAAGTTAAACTGTTAATGATGTTTGACATAACTTCCATGCTGTGAAATGCTGGATAATAAGGTTATTTAAATTTTAATCTGGCTGTAATCAGGGCAGTCCTCCAAGTGTTTTTCCCATTAGTGTGGGATGCATACTAGGAATCAGTTGCATTCCTTTGATGCTATCTTCCTAATGAAAACAAGACAGTTAAAGTCAAAAGAGAGAATTGTTTTGCCTGACTTTGGCACATGATGACAAATGGTCTATGTGAACTGTATAAATTACAAGGTGTGAAGCCTCTGCTTCTTGGATAATAAGCTTAAACTATACAGATATAACATGATTTCACCTGATAAAAGCCCAAAGACATCCAGGTAACTATACTAGTGGTTAACATGATCATATTCATGATAAAGATTAATAAGAGGAGCTGTTCTTGATGCAAAGCTTGTACTGTATATTAGTAGCTCCCACCTTATAGTTTCTCGATTCTTCAAACATCCTTCAAACAAGCTCCGAAAATATTTAATGCTAGTATGTGGGGTGCATGAACTATGGTAATTTAACAGCAGAATGGTATGTACTCTGCTCACCAGAGCTAATGCACAGTGCACAAACTTGAAATGATAATGAAAGATTTTATTTTTTCTTCCCCTTCCAGGGGACAGTGATAAGAGTGTTTTCCATTCCAGAGGGGCAGAAACTCTTTGAATTCCGGAGAGGAGTGAAGAGGTAAAGTTCAGCCAGGGTAGTTATCAGAAGCTTGTTCTTTACAGTAGATCTCCGGTATGCTGTGCAGTTGAGCTATCATCCTAATTCTTGCCTGCTGTCATCTTCTTCCATCCCTGCCTGTATGCTTATAACACTTACAGTTTTAATGTCTTCCAACTTTAGACTTGCTTATTCTGCGAATCAGTCCTGCCAGAATTGTACTTCCTCTTGCATTTTAGAAATTCACTGGTAAAGGAACTTGTTCAAAGTGGGCCACCTTTTGTAAGATACTGTATTCTTATGGCAAGTGGAATCAGTGTGTTTAATTTTCCTGCTCTTCTAAATCCTGCTAGCACCAAGGCCGTTGCAAGTCATTGTGACACAGTACTGTAGTTTGTGGTAGCAGTAACTCTGTAGCTCTAATATACTTTATGCGGAGGTAAGAGTGAGTTCAAATTCTTACTAGATGACCCCCAATGTCTAGTATATGTCAATTAAATGTCATTAAGGGGAATCTTGCTCCTGAAGTGCATTAAGAAGCCATCAGAAAATGCTTACTATGGAGTTACTACTTTTATTTACAAAGCAGTGGTGACTGAAGAATCTGCTTAATTATTAAGCCATATGCTTCGGCTTAATTGCAAGTCACATGCTCCTCTTCTTCTGAGAGAAATTGCAGGTGATTTTACTATGCAGCCACAGTCCCTCCCAGCTCTTGCAGTACAACTGGTGTGAACGCTATGTTGCTCCTTAGTGGTGAATGTGCAGAAGGGCTCCTACCTACCAAAACAGAGGAATAATATTCTCATTTAAATCAGTTGCCATGAGTCATTTAACAGGAGCTTTTGCTTTCACCAGTTAGTGCAGTATTAGAATGTCAAAAACAATGTCAAATATATGTCAAAAATAATGCTTCAGTATTTTTTGGTTTCTTTTCCACCTAGGTGTGTGAGCATCTGTTCATTGGCTTTCAGCATGGACGGCATGTTTCTGTCTGCATCCAGTAACACGGAGACAGTGCATATCTTCAAACTTGAGACTGTGAAAGAAAAGTAGGTTTCAGAGGTGCCGTAGATTTTTTATTTTTTGTCTCCAAGGAAAAGGCTTACAAATTGGAGAAAACTGTTCCTGTTGAGTATAGTCAAAGTGTGGACAGACTTCCTTTGAACACATTTCTAATGTAAAGGGCATAACAAGTCGGTTATGAATCAGCAGCTGCTCCTGATGTGCATGCTGTTCTCCTAATGAATAGGAAGAGTATTTCTGACAAAGGGGAATTGGGCAACCTTGGCAGAAGAATGTGGGGGCAGTGGAGTGTCTTCAATGACCATTGTTGGTTTTTTGTTTTGTTTTGTTTTTTTACCTCTTCTCCTATCTGTATGGGAAGACTTATCTCAACAATATCTTCCAGCTGCCTATAGGGCTTTAAAAGGCACCATGTTGTAAAACATTCCTATTTATGATTTGAAAAGAGTCTTACTTATATTTTTGTGTAAGTGGTTTGTTACTGATTAAACAGTTGAATAAAACCTTGAAGTTTAGCACCTTGTAATAGATCTCACTCTTGTATAATAACCGTTATGAAATACAGTTGTATAAACAGAAGTATCAATTTACAATAGAACATGTTTTAGCAACAGGCTGAGGGTATTACAGGACACACCATGCCCTGTAGCGTAAATGGAGTGCATTGAGTTCTCAAAGGTATTCTTTATCTCTGAAGAAAAACAAATAACCATTTAATATCTTTGAAAATGAAAAGATGTTTCAAAATGTTTGCACACCTTTCTCTCCAATGTAAAGTCAAAGTTGGACATGGTTTTCTGTTTTTTTTCTTCTAACCTGTAGACCTCAGGAAGAGCCTACAACCTGGACAGGTTACTTTGGAAAAGTGCTGATGGCCTCCACAAGCTATCTGCCCTCACAAGTAACAGAAATGTTCAACCAGGGTAGAGCCTTTGCTACAGTCCGCCTGCCGTTCTGTGGGCACAAAAACATCTGTGCACTTGCCACGTGAGTAAAGAAACAGAGCTTGCACTCACCACCCACTGGGTCGCCACGCTGAGCTATGCAGAGGCTGACACTGGGGGACACGCCTTATCTCTGTCAAAATTGGTAGTACGCAGAGCAGTGGGTCACCTGTAGTGCATTCAAAGCCTCCGCTGGTTTAAAAGCTGTATGTTGGAGCTAACATCTCACAGTCCTTTGAGGAGGAGAGGGAAAGACATAATATTTGGATCAGCAATAGACTATTTCTAAGCATTGTTTAAAGATGTCATTTCTTTTGAATGAAGGCTGAACAGATGCATAGGCTTAAGTCATTTGCTTCTATTAGTGCTAGGGGAAATAATGCTGTATTTTGTGTCAGTTGCAAAATAAAGCAAAATAAGGCAGTCTAGAGTAACGGTTAAAGAAATCTTTGAAGGCATATTCCTGTTATTCTTGTCTCTAAAACTGTATAGCATTCATTACATTTAGTTCTCAACTTTAATCTTTATTCTGCCTTCACCAAAGGGCAGGGCCTCTTTGGCACAGCTACCAAAGCAATAACCTGAGCAGTAGTGAACTTTTTTGTGTGTTTCTGTAGATTCTATGCTAAATTGATTTCATGTTTTTGTTCTCTCCTCTGATCTCAAAGCATGCTTTAAGCAATAATTAAACCTTGTAACAGTTCTGAAATAAGTAAATACTTCACGTTAGAATACTTGTCTCTGGAGTTGCACAAAGCTGGTAAAAAGATGGTAACATCTCAATTTGCTTTCCTGGGTTATGTATAAGTTGCTTGATTCCCATGGCATCCTATTAGCTCCACATTGTGATTATGCCTTGCTTTTATATATGCAGTTCTTTCCTAGGTGCTCAGTCTATGCCACTGTTAACAATATTCCCCATCTAGAAGCAACTGTGGAAAATAATGGCTTAAAATCTCAGGAGGGGAGTAGAGTGTGCTGATACAAAGCACAAGCTTTTACTAATCTCCTGTATATCTTTTCTAGAATCCAGAAGATCCCTCGGTTATTGGTGGGAGCTGCTGATGGGTATCTCTACATGTACAACCTAGACCCCCAAGAAGGAGGAGAGTGCACACTAATGAAGCAGCACAAGTAAGTCCGCACTAACTGAGGACTGATGCTTTTTATTTCTTCACAAAATCCACTTTGTTCTTAAACTTAGCTTAATGCTGCAGAAGTCTAACTTAGAGCTCATTTCTTTAACCTACTTTTTGAAACCTCTGACATGAATGAGTAACTTCAGAATCCCCCCGGGCCTTTCTTCTTAATATCTTCTACACTAAGCACCGCTTTTCCAGCAGAAACTTAGCACTGTCCAATTGCAGTGAAAAATCAATTGCTGTTAGCTGTCTGATCCTATTTCCTCTTACTAGGCAGTTTGAGTTGAGTTACTTTGACAAGAACTTGAAAGGTCTGACACCATCCTCTTCATCAATAAGTGAAGTGGCTACAGAGATGAGAATGTGTAACTCTGGCTTCACACAGGGGAATCTGGCCTATGAAATTTTATCTGTATTCTTTCTACAGGTGTCCTTACTGAACTTCTTTGCCTATAGGCCACTGAAGTAATGTTCTGTAGTGATACTGTAGAATACTGAAGGAAAATATGCAAGGCCTTGTTTTTTTCTGAGGTTTGAAGGGAACAGATAGGGTAATACAGTTGGATTACTTATGTGATCAATTGTAGATTTAAAGCCAGAAACTTATGATGGCAATTCAGGTTTGCAACTTTGGTCAAGTCTACAGTACTGGTTACAAATAATATCTTTATCTGAAAGTTTTAAGACACAATCTCTAGTTTCAGTTGTAAACAAAGTGAAGTTTGGTAAAGAGAAGCTTTTATCAGGTTTGTAATAGCTGAAATGCTCTAATACCTTCACTAGAGTGTTTTCCAGGATATGTATGTGAGGCAACAGCTTCTGCTGTGGACAAAGCTCAAGAAATAATCTGTAACCTTGCTGATAGGAATGACTTCGATTTTTTTTTTTTCTTTAAAATGTACACTGTTCTTTTGAGTCTTTTTCTTCCTAGCATCAGTTAGCAGGGTTTAAGTCCTCATGTCGTCTCAGAGGCAAACATGTTGCTGCCGTATATTGAGTGTTAAATATGAAGTATATTCACAGAGATGCCTTCTTGACAGTCCTCTGGAATATTCCTTGTATTACAACAGAGCACAGGCAATTGGAAAAGATAACTGCCATCCCTGAAGGGATCATATCCCTCCTGTTGCATGTGTATGCAACGTATGTGTTGCATGTATATGTGTTGCATATTCTTGCGTAGCTGTCAAGGAAAGCTGTGTTATGTCTAGGCAGATCACCTCTCCAGCTAACCTTTCTCTGCTTGGTAGGCTCGATGGCAGCATGGAGCCAGCCAACGAGATCCTGGAGTCTGCATCCCACGACCGGCCGTTGGTAGCACAGACGTACAGTGCTGCTGTGACTAAAGGTACATATGTGCCTTCCTCACCCACAAGGCATGGTAAGGAGAAGGCTGGAAATGGGGCAGGGAGCACCTCTGCATTTTGCATCATTCTAGATGGCTGCATGAGCTCATCTGCTTCAACACTGAGCTTTTCATAGCTATGAGCGTGATGTGAAGCACTGGTGAGTGGTTGGAAAAGAGCACTTGTGATGTTCAGTAGCCTCCTATAGATAAACTGCTCATCTTCACTATTTTCTGGGTAGAGCTTTGTCTCAAATTGTGGTCAATTACTTCAGTAATAGTTGCAGTATTTGCTGAATGGTTCTTCAGATGCTGTAATGCAATTATTTCATGCAGGAGGTCTGGGTGCAGAACAAAGCATCTGAATTATAGTCACAGGGGTTCTTTTAGGTTGTTTTTTTTTGGTTAAGTGTTCCTGTAGTTCCATTATGGGAACTGTGACCTTTTAGATTGCCTTGCTGTTCTATGAAATTGAAAGGTTCGGTATTTGTCTAATGCTGGAGTTCCATGTGAGTGGAGCCTGTGCATACAGCTCTTACCATCCCTGTACAGCACTCAGGTTGGTGCTTCAGAGCTGCTCAATACAGCAGTTGCAGCTGTAATGAAAGGGTGAAGGGTATAAAAACATCAGTCTGCCTAAAGCAACAATGTGCATTGCACGCAGGCTGCATAGTTGCAAAGTTTGATCACAAACTGCTCTTTGCTGGAGAAACATGGTCATGATGAAGGCAAACATAGGGTGGAAGTGAAACTGTTGCAAATAACGTCTGGTACTTCAGCTGGAATCCCTGACTCTGTTGGATCCAAGCCTTGGTTTGTGGTGCTGGTTGTTGAACTAATCCCTTTCCCTGCAGCCTATACGGAAGACCTGGGTGCTGTGGGTGGAGCTTGCCTGGAAGATGAAACCAACTCGCTCAGATTGGATGAAGACAGTGAGCATCCCCCCATGATCCTTCGGACAGACTGAACTTTGACCTGTGAACTCACTCCTGAAGCAGAGAACACTGGCTTGATGTTTCTTGAGGAATCTCGTGTTATGCTGCTATGAACTTTGACATGAGTTGGGAGAGAGGATGACAGACTCTTTACCGTTTTAAGTCGTAGCTGTAGTTCTAATTCTATACCATTGGAAAAATATATGGTTTTCAATTCAGTGGCTTTTAATCTTGCTTATCTATTTTAGCTGTGTTTTTTGTTGTTTTTCTTTTTTGTTGCCAAAACCTGCTGTTTGTGCAGCCCTCGGAGCCTACTAGCTTTGCATGCGTTCATGTGCCAAGCAAGCATAGGAGGGGGAGAGAGAGAGAGAAGCCACTTTATAACAAACTCAAGTTTGTATTTTTTTTATATATGTATATAATATTTAGCTTATATAAGGAAGGAGTAGAGAAGTGGTTCTGGAAGCTGAGATTAGTTCTGCACTGACAAAGGTCCAAAAGGTTTCCTGTGCATGGGCTTGCAGGCATACCTAGTGACTGACATGCAATCTTTCAAATGCATTGGCCTGTTTTTGGGTTCTCCCTCCCCTTTCCTGGACCATTTTGTTAATTAAAATTCCTTCTGAATGTTGTGTATTTGTGGGAGTGTTCTGTTTGTTGGGATGGAAAACTGGAAATGTTTCCCTGCATGAGGATGTAGAATACAGAAAGTGCCTTTACAGGGAAGAAAAAAAGTTGCAGTAGGAAGAAAGCTAGAATGAAGAAGGAATTGCTAGAGACTTGTTTCACACCTATAGTGCTCGGGTGTCTGTAGCCTATGGTAGCTGTTGTTTGGTTTTGTGTTTTTTCTTTTAGACAAAGACTTCAAATGCACTTTCTCTCCTGTCAGTTGTTCTGTTTCCTTGGCAGAGTAGCAATAACCTTTTTTTATACTTCTTTTAATTATCCAAAGCAATGATTCTGTCAGGCTGGATAGAAGTCACTGCACAGAGTATGACAGCCCTGTTACTTAAAACAGCCTTAAGGTTTTCAGCTGGAGGGTGTAATTCTTAATTCTTGCTTCTCTTCAGTCTGGGGCTGAGCATACTGCTCCAATGGTGAAGGTTCAGGACTTTTTTTTCCAGATACTGATGTAAATATAAATGATTTTGAAAGAATTATCTTCTAGGTTCTGTTTTGTTGGATAATCATGTTCCTGTTTTATTTTCTCCTTTTATTGGAGTACCTCTGGTGATGCTCTCCAAGGACTGGTTTTCTTTGGCAGCTTTGGAATAAATCCTTAACTGCCCTGACTGTGGCTAGGGCTGTCCAAAGCTGAGCAGTGCTGCAGTCTATTTTTAGGGTTGTAATGTGCCTTCTCTGAAGTCTTGGATAACAGGTAGTGAGTAAATGATTAGCAAAGTACTTGGTGAGTGTTACTTTACTTTGCCAAAGTGAGCCTGCTTTGCCTTTTGTGTAGTAATGTGGGATGCTTCCTTTGCTCTACTGACTACTTACAAAGAAATACGAATAGAAGTAGACAAGGAAATTGCAGATCTGGAAAGCAGGATGGGGCCTGGACTGAACTGAGCACTCCAGCTGTTGGTGAACTCCTTACCAAACTAGATGGTAGGGTGCTCTTAGGATTTGGTGCTGTTAACAAGGCTTCTGTCAAGCAGTAGCAGGCAGTTGTCCCCCGAGCCCTGTGTGGGTAAGGCGGGCTTTCCCCTTCATCTAAACGAGCAGAAGATGATGATAGCCACTGCCAAAGAGCTGCCTGTGTCGGTGAGGCTGCTGTTAGTGTGCACAGATGTTCTTAGACAAACATGTGGGAGAGAAGGGATCAGGCTTGTTTACTCCCTGAAAACCCTTGACCGTCCTAAATAGCTGGCTGGATTGGCTTGTGGCATCCTCTCCAGAATCCAGCACGTTCAGAGCAAACTGCTGAGCCATGCTGAAATCTCACTGAGTCTCTTGAATTTAAGCTCTGGCTGACAACTAAATTCCATAGTCTGGAATTATTTTTGTTGTTGTTTTTTTTTTACTACAAGTGCTATCAGCTTTGCTGTGGAGCTCATAACTGCAGAGTAAAATACAAGCCTTGAAGTAAATATAAGCTCAGCAAGCTCTGCTGGCAAACTGAACCACGCAGGAGCTGTCAGATGTCTGCTTATTCCAGACTAAAGCTGGGAATGTTCCTGGTAACATACTTGGAGGCTTGGCAGAGACTCAGCGAGTCGAGTTAGCAGCAAACACGCGTAACCAACACAGGTCTGCTAAGCACAAGTTCTACAACTCGAGTTGTAACAAAGGCCATATTGCATAGCAAGGGACTGCTATCACATTTAACCTGTCTACTAATTTTATTGCTAAAAACAGAACACTAAAAGGGTTAAAACCAGTATCCTGACTTTTACACCTGCTTGTTTTCCGTAGGTGAGTTGGAAATCCCATATTCGCTGTTGTTGTCTTCCATGTGCTGTAGTACACCCCTCCTGTGCCACTGACTGCTCAATAGCTACACCCTGCTTGGCCCACTCTTAAAAGCTGGAAGTTTTTCTCCTGTTTTAACTAGGAAAGTCTTTTTAGAGAGCAAGATTAGAAATATTCGGGGGTTAGTGACCAACGTGGAGCTGCTGGGATGCAGCAGGAGGTTTCTGGTCCCAACTGACAGTGTATTTAGGGTGGTGACAGTCAATTGTGTTGTCTAAGTTCATTGCATGAGGATGTGAAGCTTTCTCCTCAGATAAAATATGATTAATCTCATTTCCCTCTGATGGCTTTAGGCCCTCTAATCACCCTGCTGTGGTACGCTACCAAAGTTAGAAGCCTTTCAGGATGGGGTTTTGCCCCGTGACACAAAGATATATACTTTTTTTTTTTTCTTAAACACACCAGAACTGCTGTTTGCAGCCGTTTCTTCACCTGAGTGTGGAGCATGCAACTGAATTCTTATGCTCCATGGTTCAGGTGGTGCTCAGCATTTCTGTCCTGGTGGTCCAACAGCCCTGGATTCCCCAGCGTGAGCCAAGGAGGCTGCAGCCTTGTGCTGTGGCGGCGGGCTTGCAGTCACGCGATACGGGAACACCTCTACAACCCCTCTTGTTTCAGTGGCCTTCCTCGGAAGGACAACGTTTGCTTTGTATCAGTGTGTGTTTCTCTCTCTGGCTGCACCTCTCAAAACCTTTTTGGCTCAGTAGAGCGTTGGGTACAGAAATGGACAACAAACAACCAAAGCTGGGGAAGGGGGGGGGGACATTAATCTTGGAATTGGAAACTCAGGTCTAAACTGCAGTGGGATCTGTTCCCAGCGAGCACCGCAGGGAAAGAGCTGTTTCTCTTGATGTGCAAATACGTAGCAAGTGTGTGTACTCTGCTGCTGTCTCAACATCTGTGTTTACCCTATGTCTTTCAAGTTCAGAGGTGGAAAGCTTTTATCTGCTCTGGGCTCTTCTTATGTCACAGTTTCCAAAATACGAGTGATAGATATAAATCTAGCAGTTAAAAGGCCGGGCCTGGGAGAGGAGGAGGAAGTTGAAAGCATACAGAGCTTAGTAAAAAACTGTTCCTTCTGAGGCCCTGTTCAGCAGGACGGTTTGTGTGAGCGCTCCCTCTGCCATCAGGTGTGTGCACGCACCTCGCTGCTTCAGGTCCTGTCTGAGTGAGTTTCTTCTGCCTATTTCTACAGCAATTGTTGGGGGGAGGTGATTTTTTCAAGTCTGCCTGGATGCAAATAAATTTCTGGGAAAGCTCTAAACACGGTGACAGGTGTCTCCACAAAGGAAACGTGCGTCTGACCTACGTGTAATAGTAAAAAGGGAGGAGTGAACTGAATGAACCTACTCTGTGAGTAGGTTAGCACGGAGCCCCGAGAAGCTGATCAGCAGAACGCTTTGTTACGTCCCATGCTGTGCTTTCTCGGCTCTAATAATGGCATTAGCACCAAAGCAACATGCAGGAAGACTGTAGAATTTCCTTCCTCGTAGGTTGCTGGGCTGCTCAATATACCACTCGTACGTGCAGATGCTCTGCTGTTGTTCGCAGAGCAACGGGAGTCTTTGTCCAAAGCGTTGGTGGGGATTAATCTCTGCGGAGATCTGGGAAGCTTTATTCTGTGCTCCAGGTGTCCTGGCTAACAGTCGCCTTGATTTAACCTGTTAACAACTGAGTGCAAGGCACGGTGTCATCTCCACATGTGCAGAGCAGGGATTTGTCTTTCTGGAATTGCTGCACCAGGAGAGGCTTGCAAAGAAGAAAGCATGGCTCAGACTGTAAATAAACCCTTCCAGATTCCAGCTGCACCAAAGGAATTCAGTAAATTCCCGGTTTTCAGACTGTGACATGCCTTTTGTTTTAACCTACTTCAGATTGGCAAATCCCATCTTGCGCTGCCTTGAAAATAACGGGCAAGAAGTTTTAATTCTGGCTTGCAGGTAGCTACAGCTGTGCTCATCGCGGGTGTCTTGGTGCTGTGGCTTTGGCCATGTGGCTGCAGCGATCTGTGCGCTGACTTCCCCTGCTGCCTTTGCATGTGTCCGGCTCGTTTCTCAGGAGCGGTGAGTTGTTCCCAAACCTGTAGCTCTGGGTTTCTTTGGGGCATTAGCTCAACCCTTTCTCTACTTGGATCTGTTTGCTTTCGCATTTGCTTCTGCACATGGAGAAAAAAAAAAAACTGCATCCTGCAGTCTGACTCTGTTCGATATCTGTTGATAAGTGGAAAAATCTGTCTAACATTCCACCTCACCAAGTGTCTGGTTCTCACTGCTAGCCCATCGCTCTTTGTAATTTTATAACTGCATAAGAAATTAAATGTGTTGTGATAAGTATTCCGTGTCTTCTTCCTTCTGTTTGCTGCTTGAGGATGGGGCTGGATAACAGCCGGGTGGTGCTACGTGTGTGCTGTGGCCCCAGCCCGACTGCTAGCAGTAGTAAGCCTCCTGTCCATGCTGTGCTGTGCAGCAGACCCCCAGAAGATGTTCTTAGCTTGAGTTTTGCCAAGGAGAAGGACCAGCTGAGCTCCTTTTTGGCATATTTTGCTTGAAACTGTAATTTTTCCCCTTTGTTCCACCTTAAAGCCCTTCTTGAGGAACTTACACTTGGGCATTTTTCTCCTGTTCCTCAGGTGAGTTTAAATAACTTCCTTTGTGCTTCATTTTATGGATTGCAGCCGTAGCAGTGCTTTCAAGCATCGTACCCTGCTTGCTGTGCTGTCACTCCCAGCTTGCTGCTTCTCACCTTCAGGCCCAGGGGAGAGTGAGCCCATGCAGATGGGTGAGGAGGCTCCTCCTGTGACAAACCCTCTGATCAGGGTGGATGAGAGAGGAGAAAACCTCTGGCTAGCAGTGGAGGAGCACACGCTGAGAGCTCCTGCTCTCCTCTGTGGCTGTTTCACAGCGACCTGGGTTGTGAAGGTGCAAGCATCTCCTCTCCTGCTCCTGCTCTGGAGGGTGATGCTTTCCTGCTGGTGCCGTTTGTGCCATCCCTTGCTGCAGGCAGAAGCAGCTGTGTTAGCTCAGATGAGTGATTCTGAACTGTTCATTCAGCTGCTGCTGCCGGTTCCCTTCTGCCTGGAGCAAGCTGAGGATCAGAGCTGAGCTGTTTGTGGGTAGATTCAGTAAGGGGCAGAGCTTCCAGCCCAGGTGGTGCAGGCGGCAGCTCCATCCCTGTGCCCAGGATGGATGTGGCCATCCAGGTCTGACTGCTCCTGCTGTAAGCCTGCCCAGCACGTGAATCCCTGCAAACACATCAGAAAAGCTGAATCTCTTGGCCAGAACAGTATCTAAAATCCTAAATAATGGGTTAAAACCAGCCCTGAAACAAACAGCTGCAGCTGTGTTCAGTGGCAGTCGTGCATCTGTCTGCTGGTACTGAGCCCGCCCCATGAAGCTGGAATTCCCAGGGAAGGGACAGGGAAATCTCACCTCCTGTTATGATAAATCTCACCTCCTATTATAAAAAATCTCACCTCCCATTATTTATCCCCTTATGAGGGTAGCACCGACTTGTGCCTCTTTCCTTCTTTGTGCTCTCTGTTGGTAGCAAGGAGGGTTTAGCCCTGTTGTGGCATCCCCCCAGCTGGCCAGGAACCTTTGCTGCCTTTACTTACTCGTAACCTGGGACTCAAATCCCAGAGGAAATCAGAGCAAGAGCAGGGTTCTGCTGTAAGCAGCCCAACCTCCCGGGCTCGGGGCCAAGCGCGCTGCCAGGAGCGCAGCTACCGGGCAGAGCAGCTCCTGGGCTCGCCGTTCAGCCGTGCTGTTTTCCTTGGATGCAGAATTGTGGCTTTTTAGAGCAAGCAGGAGGAAACCAGATGCTGGGAGGTGCTGGGGGAGCAGCAGGCAGAGGCGAGCACCAGCCCTGCCTGTGTTTGGGAGCTCCTGGCCTTGCTGCCAGCCCATCCATCCCTGGGTACCTTTTTGGGTACCTTTCACCTTCTGCATCTGCCCTGGCCCTGCACAGGTTTTGAACAAACCCCCTGCCAGGCTCTTGGTGGGCACTTCTTCAGCTAATTACCGCTGTGATGCGCTAATGAGAGCTTTCTGCCCAGCCTCCTGCAGCTGAGGAAATCCGGCGCCTGCTCTTCCAGCACCTTGCCACGTTTTTCCTTGGCAGTGAGTTTCTGCTGAGCTGCACGGTGAGGTTACAATAAAGGGTTCAGAGGCTGAGGAGTCCAGGTGGACTCCTGAAATAAACTAGAGGATTTTGGTGATGTTTTGACGCTCTGAATCCTCTTTTCCAGGGACAAAAAGAAGCCCTGGGAGCGAGTGACTGACGGATGTTGGCACTGGCCACTGCTCGCAGCCCTCCTTCCCTTCACCAGCGGGCTCCCTGGCAGCTCAGCAGCAGGGCTGAGACCTCTTTTTATCGTTTTTATCTGTCGCTGCCAGGCACAGAAACGTCCCAGCGGCAGCAGCACGAGCCTTTGGGTGCTGGGGGGGCCGGGGGGGGCCGCGCTCTGCCGCCGCGCAGCCGCTAGGTGGTGGTGCGCGTCCCTGCCCGAGCATCCCCGCTCCTTCCCCCTTCCCTCCCCGAGCATCCCCGCTCCTTTTTCCTCCTCCCTCCCCGAGGATCCCTGCTCCATTCCCTCTTTCCTCCTGCAGCATCCCTGCTCCTTTTCTCCCTTCCCTCCCCGAGCATCCCTGCACCTTCCCCGGGAGCATCCCTGCCCCTGGGGGCTCTGCAGCGCCTTGGGGACCACGCTCAGGCCCCCTGAGCTCCTCTCTCTTCACCCAAAAGTGATTTTGAAATTGAAAGCAGGGAGGCAGGGACAGGAGGGGCAGGGGCAGCAGCCTTTATCCTCCTCCTTTTCACCCTCTGGGCTGTGGAGCAGCCTTTCCTGTCTCCCAGGGCACCCAGCCATTTGCATTTCAAGGGGCCGGGACGCATTTTCACCATCTGAAATTACTTATTGGGAGCCTCTTTGGAAACCAAACAGCGTGTGCATGGAGAGATGGCCTCCGCAGCCTCCCATCAACTGCTGCTGCCAGCCCTGAAGGCTGCCCTTAAGGACACCGAGCAGAAGCAGCACGGGCTCTGCTGGAGCTGCAGAGGGTGCAAAACCCCGAACCCGGCTCCATCCCCCAAGAACTTGGGGATCGTGGTCCCCGTGGCCACCACGCACCAGGCTTGGCAGAGAAAAACTCACTAAATCCAATAACCGGCATCCTGAGCCCTCTGCCATCAAATATTCCCCAAACCAAGCCCCTGGCAGCCCCGGCACTGCCCAGGGCTGGGTTTTGCTGGGTGCTGGCGCTGTTTTCTCAGCTGCTGCCGAGGCCACGGCCCCACGCTCGCTGCCGCCGCTGCTGCTTATTTATCTTGGAGCTGCATTAGCAGATGCACTCTGGGATATTCAATTACCTCTAAAGTGCTGCAGCCCTGCCAGCTTCTGCTGGAGCCACCAAGGGGGCTGGGTGGGTTGGTTTGGGGTTTTTTTGCCTCTTTTTAACTCGCTTTTAAAAGAGAGCCGGGGCTGGGGAAAGCACTCAGTAAAAACAGAGACGGGAAGAGAAAAAAAAAAAAAAAAAAAAAGGAGGAGAGTGAAGAGGGGGATAAATAAATAAATAATCCTGTTTATGAAATGAAACGGGCGGGTAGAAAAACGATCTCCGGGAAGAAAGCGGCTCCCGGGGCTATTTTTAGCTCCTCTTTTTCTTTCTCCCCCCCCCCCTCACTCGATCCCAGGAGCAGGCTGGGGGCTTGCTGCGTGCCTCCCCGCTGCCAGGTGATGACTTTTTTATTTTAATTTTTTTTTCCTTTCCCTGCATCTTATTTATAGCAAGTATAGAGTTTATAGCCCACAGCCCCCTCATGGGAAAAATGTGGGGCCAAGGGGGGGCACTGGGGCTGCCCCCCCAGCGTCCCCCCCACCAGGCTGCCAGCTCCCCGTGCGCTCCCTCCTTGTGCCTTGATGGAATAAATACATAATTCCTTTATTATTCAATTAGGAATTTAACACGCAATCAGGTGATCGCTTTAAGAGGATTTCCTATAAGGCAGGATTTGAATAACCAGGCTCCGAATTCTATATTCCCTTAACTGGTTTATTCCTTTATCAGATTTTTTTTTTTTCTAAGCACTTTAATGCATTTACTTGCCCATTGTCAACACTTTTCCCCCCCGCTCTTCCTCCCTCCCCGAGCTTATGCAAATCCCCCGTAAGGGGTTTAATGCTCCGTGTGTGTGTCAACGGTGCCCAAATCTCCGCCATGGCACTGGGCTCCGTGCGTGTCCCTGCTAATTAATAGGGGCGCATCGCTGATGGGAAAAGCTGATTTTCCCCCAAATTTTGCTGCTGGTGGCTGTGCCCTTTGCCATGGCACTGGGCCATGCTTCCCAGTATTTTGGAGGTGGCAGGGTCATGCCTGCAGCCCCCTGGCTCTCGTTTTGGGGGGCTTTGGGGCCAAATGCACCCGCTGGTGGCTGGGCAGCCTGGATCGGGGCGGGGGAGATTGCCCTGCTCAGATTGGTGGGGCGTTCACTCTGAAACCTACTGACGACCGCTTGGGCAGTAGAAAATGAAGAGGAGGAGGGCTGGGAGGATGTCAGAGCTCGGTGGCACTCCGGGAAGAGGTTTCCCCATCACCAGAGGTGCTGAGGCTGCCGGCGAGGTCCTTTGGGAGCCCAGCACGGGGGAGCAAAACCACCCAAGGGTGGACTTGGCCCTTTTCTGCTTTCAGAGAAAAATCTCATCTCTCTCTCCACCTGGTCTTTAAATAGCCCAGATGAGTGGGAGAGTGCTGGAACAGCCCTTCCCGGCCCTCGCCTCCCCTGCGCCCGCTGCTGATTGTCTCCGTTTTTATCCCGTCCTGCCGCTGCGAGTGCGTGCAGCAATTATGCAAAGTTGCAATCAAGGAGCTGAATTAGCAGCTCATCTCGGATTAATTAGGGATGGATGCGAATCCGTTCCAGCAAGGAGAAGGGAGGGGAGAAAAAAAGGAAAGTCTCCGGGCATCCTCTCTGGGTTTTTCCAGCTCTCGTAGTCCGGTGTGGCTGCTGCAGGTGGGGGGATGCAGAGGGGCAGGGAAAAGCCCCCGGATTGGGGTGTCTGCAGGAGTGGGGTTGGTCCTCGGGATGTGCTGGTGCCGTGGCTCAGCTCCAGTTCATCCCCTGCATCTCCCAGGAGCGCTTAAATCCGGTGCTTTGGCCTCAAATCAACTCCTCTCCTCTCGTCCGTGTCCTGCTGCAAAGCCTGGGGAAAACCCCGTTAATCCCCGCAGCCTCCGGTGCCCAGCTCCTGCCAGTGCTGGGGACGAGCCCCGCGAGCTGCAGCTAACGAATCCCCCGGCCACACCGCCTTCCTCATGGCCCCGATAATCCCCCCGGCACCACGCCGGCCTCATTTCATCCCCGATGTCTCCGTACGAAGCCGGTGCTGCCGAGGATGCTCCCGGGGCTGGCGCAGCGCTTGGTTGGCTTTTGGAGCTGCCCAGCAGAGCAGGGAAGGATGCAAAGCCTGTCCTCAGGGAGGGATGTGAAGGCTCTCGATGTTATTTAAAGAAGGGTTTCCAAGAGGGGATTGCGTGCTCGGGAGGAGCCGTGCAGCATCCCGGTCCCGTAAGATGGAAGAGCAGCGCTGCCGGGGGCACTGAGCTCGGGAACGCAGCGTGGCGGGGTGGAGAGGGGGCTCTCAGCCCAGAAACCTCAATGCCACATCGCCCACCCCATAGGTGCACAAGGGACAGGGATATAAGGCACGGGCATCCCTGCTGGGTGAGCACGGCTTGGTTAAGGAGCAGGGTTTTGCCGCTGGGTTCCTGGGAAATGGGTGCTGGGGGGGACGGGGACAGCAAGGACAGCGGTGCCCAAGGGAGGGCAGGCACACGGCAGCAGCAGCACCCCAAAGGGAGCCACATAAAGGATCGGTGAGGGGTCCAAGAGGTGGCATTGGGGTTTTGGGTAGGGTGGCGGGATCCGCCTGAACGCTCTCTCCTCTCTCTCACCTCTGCAGCAGCAATAATTAATAAAACCCAACTCTGCTTCAGGAGCGAGATAAAACGCAATATGGGGGATTTCTGGAGGCCGTCCTAATCCAACAGCTCCGAGCCAAATGAATCAGCGGGGCCTTATTCCACCCAGCAGGATCAAACCACGGCCCCCATGGCAAGGAGGCTGCCGGGGCGGAGGCTGCCTCCAGAGCTAAAACACCTCCTCATCCCACAAACGGTGCCGCTGCAGGAGGGATGGAAGCGGAGAAAATCCCCCCAAAATGCTGGGATTTGGCCGGGGATGCTCTGCGGTGTGATGTTGGGTGTGGAGGTGCCAGGGGCTGGGTGTGGGACATCCCCTTGTGCCACGGGGACCGAGGGGTCGGGGCCAGCTTCGTGGTGCCTGGCAGGCTTCCCCAGTGTTGAAGTGGGTCAGGCGGAAACTCCGGGAGCAGCCGAGCTCACAGACCTCGAGCCAGCTACAGCAAAGCTGAATTATTCAGGGCAGGCTGAAAAATTGAAGAGCGAGGCAAAGCCCAGGGGGAGCGCACGGCGCGGGGGCCCCAAACGTCCCCGAAGGGAGGAGGGGGCTCAGCACCAGCACCAAGCAGTGCTTGGACACCTCGGGAGGATGGGGAATGGGATCAGGGTCCAACTCTGCCCTTTGGGAAGGGAAGGCTGAGAGGAAGCACTTGGAAGGAATCCGTCCTGGTGTGGCCCTAAAAGCCGTAGAGGTTTCCTAATATCTGGTGCCAGCTCTGCGGGGGTCAGGAGCAAACCTCTGGCCCCGAGCCTGGCTCGAGCCCAGTGAGCGCGGAGCACTGTGTGTGATGATATTTTGGCAGCCCCATGTGCGTGTCCATGGGGCCCTTTGGATTTATGGGGCCTCTGGCAGCCGTGAACCGAAGTGAGGCGGCAAACCCCAAAATGGGGAACACGAGGTCGTGCGATTTCAGCCAGGATGGCACAAGTCAGGGGTTGGGTTTTGCCTCCGGGTGTTTTTTTTTCAGCATCTCCAAGAGCTCCAAATGCACTTGAAGGGCGCCAGGATGCTGGTGGGACCTCAGGGCTTTTATAGGGACCTCAGGGCTTTTATAGGGACCTCGGGGGCTTTTATAGGATCCCCCCAGCTCTGCAGCCAGGGTGCCGAGGCGGGAGGGCTGGCTCTGACGGGAGAATCGCTGCCGAGCTGGGTGAGTAACGCTGCCTGGGAGCTGGGAAAAGGCGAGCGCACATATGCTCCAGCTCGTCCTGCGCTTTTCGTGGCGCTCGCGCAGTGCCTGGATGCCAGGCAGGGGGTTCTCTGCTGTCTCGTAGGGCTGTGCTGCTCCATCCCTGCCCCGCTGGCAGTGCCGTGGGGATGTCCCCGGGACGGGCGTTATAACCGTGTCGCATCTTCGAGGTCCCTTCTCCGAGGTGGATGCAGGGTGAGGGGGCACCCACACCAAAATCACCCCTTTTGCACCAATTTCCAAGGAAGGGAGTTGGTGTAGGGCAAAAGGTCAGAGCTGAGCACGGTGCTCACTTTTTGGTGTTTGTCACCCCGCTGCCACCCAGGGATGGGGAACACCAGTGAGGGGCTCTTGCCCGGCTTGGATGGGGGCACCCGCAGTGTCCCCACCTGGAGCACTCACCCTGGGCGGGTGTCCCCCCACCCCACGCTGCTTCCAACCCTGGTTACGTGGGGGAGCAGAGCCCCCCACACACACAGAGCCCCAAAAATGAAGGGATTTCTGCGTGCTGCCAGCCAGAGCTACAATCTGTCTGGCCATGCATCTGTTGTCCTGTCTGTCCGTCTGTCCATCCAACCATCCACCTGCCTATCCATCCATCCATCCATCCATCCATCCATCCATCCATCCATCCATCCATCCATCCATCCATCCATCCATCCATCCCTCTGTCCATCCCTCTGTCTGTCTGTCCGTCTGCCCCATCCTCCCCCCAGGGCAGCCCCCACGCCGACCCCATGTACCAAAAGCGTTTGGGGCGTGCATGGCAAAAAGCTCCCTATCCCTGCCATGGGACCAAACCTGGTGTCCTAAACGAAATGAACGCAGTCCCCTGATTTTTCCTCACCCTAATTAATACCTCCTTGCAATCAGCGCCACCCCACTGATCCCCCCCCCAAAAAAAAAACCCACATACAGGCAGTCCCTATAGCTGCCGCCTATAGGATGGACACGCAGCCAGGGGGGCGGACGGGCTCTGTTGGGCGGAAAAAACATTTCTGAGCCCCCCCCCCCGGTCCTCCCCCCTTTTCTTGGAGCCGGGGAGGGGCGGCCGGAGGGGTGGGGAAGGGGAGGGTGCGGGGGGTGGCGACGGAGCCGCCCCCGCTCCTCGCTCGCAGCCGCCGCGCTCGCTGCTCCCGGTGCCCCCACCCCGGGGACCGGGCTCCGGTATGGGGGGGCCGGGGGGGTCCCGGGGCTGAAAGGGAGCGAGAGAGGAGCCGGTGCCGCAGAGCTGCCGCCGGGGGGGGGCGAGGTAAGAGGAGCCGCCGACCTGTTGGGTAAGGATGGGACCGGCTTTGTCTGGGGATGGGGGGGTTGTGGGGAGGGGGAGAGGGATGGGAAGGGGGTGGGGGTGGTGAGGGACCCCCCTGCCTGTTCCTTGCCGACCCCCGAGCATCCCCCCCCCTCCCCGAGCACGCATCTCCTCCGGTGGGGTTGGGTTGAATGTCCGTGTTTACAGCACTTTGGGGATGCAAATCCTCGTCATCTTCATCATCATCTTCATCATCATCATCTTCATCATCATCATCTTCATCATCTTCATCTTCATCATCTTCATCACCACCGTCTCACCCCCGTGGGGTTATCCCCGCTGTGTCCCCCGTGCCCCCCACCCCGCAGAGCTGCCGGGGCCTGGCCCTGCTCCCGCGTGTAAACCCAACGGGGAGGGGAAACCGGATTGATTTCGGAGCGAGGATCCTCGGGGCAGGTTGTGGGGGGGGGGGCTGGATCCCACTCCCGTGCCGTGGAGAAGTTTGGGTCACTGCGGGCGGGGGGTGCCGCTCCCCAGGTGGGGTCATTTTGGTGAGAAAACCCCTGCAACAGGCACCCCGGTCGATGCTTCCCATTGGGGTTTTGCCACCTGGGGTGATAAATCTGGGGTTTTATCAGCGGATGGGGTCACAGCAGCTCCCCACGGGCGGTGACACGGAGCGGGGTCCCCATCCAAAACCCTGCCCGCGGTGCTCCAGGGTGGGTGCTGAGGTCCCCCCCTGGCCACATCCAGGCCCCCACCGGCTCTGTGGCCTCAGGGCCATGTCAGGGCTGCTCTGAGCCACAACCAAAGGATTTGGGATCGTGCTCGCGGTGTCGGTGGGCACCCCATTTGCCACCCACCCCATCCGAGGCGTCCTGGCAGCGGGGAGAGGCTGGAAAACCTCCGCGCTCCTGCGAGCGCCGCGTCTCGCAGGGAGCCCAGACAAATCACTTTAATTGATTTTTCCTTCCTTGCCTGCCTCAGCCTGGTGCCTCGGAGGAGGGTTTTTTGGTTTTTTTTTGCTTTTTTTTTATTTCCTCGGGGCGGCTGGGTGGCCCGTGGGCAGTGGGTATAGGGGCAGGCTGGCATCTAGCGACTGGCGCTGGTAATACAGAGAGGGGTTAGGGTGGGCCCAGAGGGACAGAAGGGTTTTGGGGGGCTCTGGGGGGGTCTCTGGGGGATGCCTGGTGGTGTGGGATCTTGTTCAGGGATGTATTTGGTGTGGTCACTCATGGCTGTGCTCCTGGGGGGCTGTGCACCCATACCCAGCGGCTCTCTGAGCATCTCCCCGCTGTGCCGTGGCCCCCTCGGCCCAAAATGCTGCCCAAAAAACAAAACGCTGCCAAAAAACAGCCGGGTCGCATCCTGGCCTCACCCCAAAAGGGCAGCAGGAGCGGTGCGCCCAGCCCCAGGCAGCAGAGATGCCGAAAAAGGGTATAAAGCGGAGTTTATGGGCTATAGAAAAACATAAAGAGCCCGCAGAGAGCAAGGGCTTCCCGAGGCAGCTGGGATCCCCCCCCTGGCGAGTGGTTCCCACCCATTAATTTTTCTAATTGCTTTTGGAGATCACAGCGTTGGAAGCACCCCAGCGAGGTGCTGAGCATCGTGGCCATCCTTTGCAGACCCCATAAGCATCACCCGGGGTGGGAACAGGACCCCAGGGGGACGCAGGGGCTGTCACCCACCCGGAGGGGGGGTCACCGCTCTCCGTCCCCAGGTCGGCCGCGATGGGCTCGGTGGGAACGGAGCGCTTCAAGGAGCTGAGCCCGGCGGGGACGCCCGAGGGGAACGTGGTGATGAGCTTCAGCTTCGACAGCTACCAGCTGGAGGAGGACGAGCTGCAGCGGGGCAGCCAGGCCAAGGGCGTCCTCACCTTCATGGAGCCGGGTGAGGGGGGGAATGGGGGGGAAAAACCCACTCCGAGGCTTTTCCCACTCATTTAGAGGAGCTTCCTGGGATGGGTTAAGAGCCACAAATGGCTGTTCTGCCACAGAGTCATGCGGTGCCACGAAATGGCCTGGTGGCTCTTTCGGAGAGCTCTTTGTACCCGGTTTAGCCACCGCAGCATCCTGCAGGGGTGGGCTCTGCGGTTAGCTGGGGGGGTTCTCAGCCGCTCTCTCCTGCCCAGCTCTCCCCCTGCTAGAAAAAAACAAAACATCAACCCTCAAAGCCCCGGTATTTTCCTGCCCTCCAGCCTTTATTTCTGGAAGGAGTTTCTCCAGGCTGAGGGCATTTGGAGCGCTGCAGGGCTGGGGCTGGCTTGCCCCAAGCGAGACGCGTTGAGCCTCGACGCCCCCAGTGCCACAAGGGACATGAAGCTCCGGTGTCACTGTCACATCTCCTCTCCTCCCTTCCCTTTTGGGGCAGTTTCTGAAGACCCCGAGCCACAGGACCGATACCACGGGATCTATTTCGCCATGCTGCTGGCCGGGGTTGGGTTTCTCCTGCCGTACAACAGCTTCATCACCGACGTGGACTACCTGCACCACAAATACCCAGGTAGGGCTCCAGCAGCCCAATCTCTTCCTGCCCACCCCGCCAAACCTGAGCCGAGCCCCCCCGTGACCTCCCCACCTCCTGCCTCTCCGCAGGGACCTCCATCGTCTTCGACATGAGCCTCACCTACATCCTGGTGGCCTTGGTGGCCGTCATCCTCAACAACGCGCTGGTGGAGCTGCTGAGCCTGCACACGCGCATCTCCGTGGGTGAGTTGGGGTCCCCGTGTCCCCGGGCACTGCCAGCTCCCCCCCAACCCCACCACCTGCCCCTATCCCCTCTCCTACAGGTTACCTCTTCGCCCTGGGCCCCCTGCTCTTTGTCAGCATCTGCGATGTCTGGCTGGAGCTCTTCACCCGCCGGCAAGCCTACGCCATCAACCTGGTGGCCGTCGGGGTGGTGGCTTTTGGCTGCACAGGTATGTTGTGGTCTGCCGGGCCCCTCGCCGGTCCCAACCTCCCAGCCGGGCGTTTTTGGCTGCGGCAATAATCCCTTCCCTTCTCCCCTCTGCGCATCTCTCCTGAAGTGCAGCAATCCAGCTTCTACGGCTACACGGGGCTGCTGCCCAAGCGCTACACGCAGGGCGTGATGACGGGCGAGAGTGAGTATCAGCGGCCACCACCATGTCCCCGCTTGGGGACAGTGTCCCCGAACAGTTGAGGTGTCCCCCAGAGGCATCTTCTCCATCCCCCGGCTTAGAACAAACTGCCTGGGACCACGTCCTGGTGGCTTTTGGGTTGCCAGCATCTAGGGGACATCCCCGGGGGCTCCCTGGCAAAGTGGGGTGTTCAAATCCTGCGCAGTATCAGCTGTGCTGCCATGGGGTCTGCCACAAGCTGGCTCCATCACCCCAAAAATGCCTCTTCTGGCTCCTCCATGCCTGGAGCATCCAACCCTGTGCAATGTGGGGCTGATGGGGGGGTCCCCAAGCCGTGGGGCTCCGTGGGACCCAGCCCCGAGCGCCCTGGTGTGCCACCAGGCACCGCTGGGGTCATCATCTCGCTCAGCCGCATCTTCACCAAGCTGCTGCTGTCGGACGAGAAGGAGAACACGGTCATCTTCTTCTTCATCTCCATCGGCATGGAGCTGACCTGCTTCATCCTCCACCTCCTGGTGAAGCGCACCCGCTTCGTCCGCTACTACACCTCCTGCCCCCGCAAGGGCCACCCCACGTCCCGGGGGGACCACGGGACGGGGACAGGGACAGGGTACCGCGTCCACCACGATGTCACCGCCGAGGACGTCCGATTTGTAAGCCGGGGCAGGGCTCCCCGCTGCTCCCCAGGGTCCCTTTGTCCCCAGGGTTTAGTGCTGGTGTCCCCTCTCCCCGTGTAGGAGGACCGGCCACGGGGACAGCCCGGCTCCCCCCGGGACAGCCTTGGCCCCGAAGGCGAGCTGGCGGGCAGCGGCACCTACATGCGCTTCGACGTGCCCCGGCCCAAAATCAAGAGGAGCTGGCCCAGCTTCAGAGGTGGGTGGTGGGCTCGGGGACGGTCATAACAGGGAGGTTTTGTGGGGTAGGAGGCGCAATCTGCAGCCCGGGGTTTTAGGGGGAAGGCTCATCCATTGGTGACTGCGCCCAAAAACACGAGGCCATCTCACCGCGCTGCCGGTGAGCCTTTTGGGGCCGTGGTGCAGGGCTGAGCCGTGCTGCCCGCCCCTCCCAGACATGCTGCTGCACCGCTACGTCGTGTCGCGGCTCATCTGGGCCTACATGCTGTCCATCGCCATGACCTACTTCATCACCCTCTGCCTCTTCCCCGGGCTGGAGTCGGAGATCCACAACTGCACGCTGGGCGAGTGGCTCCCCATCCTCATCATGGCCATCTTCAACCTCTCCGACTTCGTCGGCAAGGTAGGGGCGGGCAGCACAGCCACCTCGGCCCCCTCCCCTTTTATTTTTGTGTTCTCTTTCAAAGCCACTCGGGGGGCTTCTCCACCCCCGTGGGCACCCACCCGGCGTGAGGGTGGCCGAGGTTGGGCTCCTGCGGCTTCCCAGCCCCTCGCCTCCTCCTGGCCCTCCCCAAAACTCCTCGCTCCCACCCCCCAGCTCGCTCTTTGCCCCCCCTGGCTGCAGATCCTGGCCGCCCTGCCCTACGACTGGCGGGGCCCCCACCTCCTGATCTACTCCTGCCTCCGCGTGGTCTTCATCCCCCTCTTCATCATGTGCGTCTACCCCAACGGGCAGCCCGCCTTCGGCCACCCGGCCTGGCCCTGCGTCTTCTCCCTCCTCATGGGCATCACCAACGGCTATTTCGGCAGCGTGCCCATGATCCTGGCGGCCGGCAAAGTGAGCCCCGAGCAGCGGGAGCTGGCAGGTAAGGGGGGGGGGGAGTGACACCGTCCCCGGGGACCCCACAAAGGGGTGTCCGGGGCTGGCAGCCTGACCCGCCGCGTCCCTCCCCGCAGGGAACACCATGACCGTGTCCTACATGACGGGCTTGACGCTGGGCTCGGCCGTGGCGTATTTTGCCTACAGCCTCACCAGCACGGCCCACAGCAGCTGTTTCTACACCGAAACGTCCAACGGCTCCTTCCTGGGGGGGTACTGAGCCCCGGGGATGGGTGGTGTGGGGGCGGGATGGGACCGGGTCCTGTTGGCGTGGGGCTGTGGCCTCCCCAAAAAGCCCTCGGTGCTCATCCAGGTGTCCCCTGGGTGCTGTGCGGGGTCACCTCTCGGGGTGGTGGCCCCCCAGGTTTATTGAGGGGTGAAGTGCAGGGCTCTGGGGGTATGGGAGGGGGCGAGGTTTGCTGTTTGGGTTCTTGCCGAGGAAATATTGCCCCATCCCAAAAAGGAATGGGGGCAGCGCTGCGAGGGGGGGGGGCTGGTGAGGAAGAGGAGCGAGGGAGGAAGGTGCTGTGGGATGGCGAGGATTTTATTGACAGCACTTGAAACTGTGCCCCCCCCCTCCCCAAAATACTCCAATGACTGTGGAACAGACCCGAATCACTTCTGCTGGATGGAAAAAAAAAAGAAAAAAAAGAAAGAAAAAACACACTTGGTTTTGTCTTTTTTGCCCCCAAACCGTGAGGGAAGTGGGGTGTTACCCCAGGGGGGGCTCGGCTGCCTTGGAGGGGGGGTCTCAAGGCCAAGGCACCGTGGGTGCTGCCCAGGGCTGCTGCTGAGCCTCCAATTCTGGGGCAAGGGCCATAAATCAGAGCTGACACGGGATTAAATGGCTCAATTTGCAGCAAGCCCTGCGAGCCGCCGTGCCCGCCTTTCGTGGGAACACAGAGAAAGGGGACGGAGTGTGTCCCAAACACACTGCTGGGTTTTGGGGTTTCCTCATCAATAAATGCTTTTTGGCTTTTAGGTTTTTATTATTTTCTGGAAGGCAGCAGCCTGCGTGTTCTGGCTCTTTTCCTCAGGGGGTGGGAAGGGACCGGGCTCTTTGGGGTCACCGCTGACACTATTTTGCTGTATGGCCCCGGGTTCATCACGCCACATCCCTCGGGTTTATCAGGGGACCCCACAGCACCTTGGTGCGGTCCCCCAGTGTTTCTCCCCATCTCCAATGTCCCCTCTGTCCCCTGGGGCAGCCACAGTGACCAGGATGCAGCCTGGGACCCCACTGAGCCCCCCGCACAGCCAAAAAGCGACTGCTGGCACCCAGGGAGGGGGGAAAAAAAAAAAACCAAAACACACCAACAATCAGGCAGGGAAAGCGAGACAAAGAACGATGCGGCGTTGGGTTGCTTTTTTTTTTTTTTTTTCAATTATTTTTTTTTTTTTTTTATGAAAAAAGATCACACGGAGTTCTCCAACAAACAGAATGCCAAAAAAATCGCTTTAAACAAAACATAAACAAAACGACGACAAAAAAAAAAAAAAAAAAAAAAAAAAGGACAAAAAACCTGGCTCTCCTTTCCTCTCGATTGTCTGAAATATCCTTGTGTTCCATAGAAGGCAGTGGGTTTTAAGTGCTTTCTATTTAACATTAGCATAAAATCTCTCTCGCGCGCTCTCTCTCGCTCTTTAAAATATGATCACACACTTTGCTTCTAGAATTACAGTACACTTTGAGCGTGGGGGGTGTGCCTGTTCCCAGATCATTTACAATCACAATCCAACAGGAAATAAAAAATAATATTCTAAACGTCAGACTGTGTTCATTTCTGCCGTCTTTTTTTTTTCTTTTTTTTTTTTTTCTTTTTTAGAATTTCATAATTTTTTTTTTCACAGTTTTAAAAAGTTTATATTTATATATATATATTTATATTTATATTTATAATTAAAAAGCTGAATCCATTTAAAGACTTATAATACAGGAGGGCTAAAGAGTCTTTTGGTACATTAAAACTGTACAGGCTAGGAACCGTCACTATCCGAGGCGCCGGCGGCCTGGGGCAGAGGTGGTACCAGCTCAGCACCGTGCGTGTGGTTCTTCTGAAGTACGAGGGGGGGGGGGACTGCAGGGCCCCCAGCAGTGTTGGGGGGGATCCTTTGTGATCTGTCCTCGTCCCAGCATCTCCTCCCCGGAGGAGCCAGGGCGGCTCTGCGTCCTAGCGAGCTGTAGTGCGAGTCGGTCGTTGCAAAGGTCAGTGCGTCTCTTGGAGTTTTTTTTTTTTGTGTGTGTTTTGTTTTTTTATTTATTTAAGTGCAAGGATGGTGCAGCGTTGGGGTCTCCTCCAGCACCTCCTGGCTCGGTGCTGCCTTCCCAGGTGGGATCTTGGTTTGGTGGCGGCTATGCCCCCGTGGATTGAGCTGCAGGGGGAGGCAGGAGGTGATGGTGGTGGCTCCCCGTGAGCCGTGGCAAGGCTGGGCAGGGGGATGGAGCAGGCTGAAGGGCCCCTTCCCCTGCTCGAGGTGACAGCAGGGCTCTGGAAATGCAGCATTCTCCATTCTTCCATTCTGGAAATGCTCCATTCTGCCAAGGGAGACGGCCCCAAGGGCCTGCAGGCTGCTCTGCTCCAAGCACCGAGCACCAGCTTCCCCCAGCCATTCCCTTCATGCTCAAAACCACGCTCTTTGCTCACCAAGCATCACCGCCTCACCCCGCACTTGCTCCCCCAAACCCTTTTTGGGGCAGGAGGGAGTGGGAAGGTGGCTTCAGACCGTTTGTTCAGGGTACTGGGAAGGCAGCACCCCAGCCTGGAGGGCAGCTCACCTTCCACCCGGCTCCCCCCCGGCCTGGGGGAGCTCTCCTGCCCACCTCCACTCCAGGACCAGCTCTGCCTTTTCGTGCTGCACGTGGCCAGGCAAGGGAACTGCAAAAAGGTTGCTGAGAGGATCGAGACGAGGCGCTGAGACTCATCTCCTTTTTTTCTTCCACCCTGTCCTTCCTAAAGGGTCATGCGAAAACAAGCAGGGAAGGGGAAATAAGGACGGAGAGGAGCGTACGTCGAAGGCCAGCGGTGTCCTTCCACGTACAGGCGGCTTCTGAGTGACGATGGGGGCAAATGACACGAAAGGGATCCCTCCTGCTGGGGGGTCCCGCTGGTGAAATGATCATGAGACCCATGTGCTTTCCAGGACCAAAAGGAGGAAGGGAGAAGTTGGTCGAGCATCACCTTAACTCAAGCCACTTCGGGAGGAGCTCCGGGGTTCACGCACCACCACCGCCACCCCCGGTATCTTCCGCAAGTCCTGTAACTGCTTCCCCAACCCCTTTCTTCAGCCCTCTCCTTCCTCCTCGTGTCTCTCGCGCTCTCCTGTCTGTAGTGTGACACAGAAGTCATGAGCATTGAAAGAAACAATCATGTCGTCTTAACAGGCACGTCCTCATGTTTGTCCCGTCCCTTCCCAGGGGGTGGCACGCGTCCCCCGGGCGGTCAGCAGATGACAGGGACCCCGTCGGTGTTGAAGATCATGCCCGTGGTGGGCTCGTAGGTCCCTGCAAGGTAGTAGAGGTCCTCACTGTCTTGGTATTTCTTCGTCTTCAGCATCTGCTCATACTGGTCCAGACCAACAACAAGACACTTGTGTGAGATGGTCTGGACATCGTTTTCATCCACGTGGGAGGACTGGTAGAGGGCTCGCTGCGTTACAGGAAGGGAAGGAGGGAGACAGAAAGAAAAGCAGCAATTAGATCTCACGGCATGTAACGCGTCATCTTCAATTTGCAAGAAAAAACATCCACCAGGACTGCCCAGGGCTTGTGCTCACACTCAGGCAGAACTCAACCAGTCCTAGGAGGGGCACTGGGGGCATGGCTGCTCCCATGGGAGTCCAGACACAATGGGTCCAGCACAATAAACCCGAGCCCTTGCTCACAGCCAGCTTCCACAGACGGGAACTCCACAGCTGCAGAGTGCCCCAGCAGGGGAATACAGAGGCCAGGAGTTTTGCATCCTTTTTTTTTAAGGATGCAAATGCAAAGGTGGGTGCTGCCTACCAGCCCTCTGTTCCTCCTAACACCCATCAGCAATTCCCACCCTCCCAAAATCTCCCACTGCAAGTTGTGAACGCTGCAGTCAGCAGCTGAGGTGAAAGTCAAATAATCGAGGGGCTTTTCCCCAGCAGCACTGGCGATGCAGTCCCCAGCGTGCCACCCCCGCCTGCCCCCAACCTCACTGACCTCCATGAAGTCCTTCCTCTGGTTGGATGCCTGCAGAGCTGTGGACAGGCTCCTGCCTGATTTCTGATCCCAGCGCTGTGCCCAAGAGGAAAAGAAGAAAGAGAAGAGAAATGAAGAGTGAATTAGTATTTTTTTCCATGCCATCACCTGCCCACCACGTGTGCCTTTATAACCTCAGCCTCAGCCACAGGTAGCACATGCTGAGGGCCTACTGCAAACCACACTGTGCACGTGTGCAGAATTCAGTGGTTCTGAGCAGCAAGGCATCACTTTTTACACCACACAAAGACTCTGACTCTTGACAGAGTCTTTCTGGACTGACGCAAACATCTTTATTTCCCAGTAGGATAAAAGACACCCTTTCCCTTGCTGAAGGGGTCAATACCAGGCCTGCCCTTACCACAGGACATGATGGGTCCACCCCACGAGGCTACCAGTAACAAACTGGGCTGTGATTTTCCTTGTCCTTAGGAAACAAACAGGGACAAGCAGCTTTGCGGCCCTCTCAGCGAGGGAGACCAGCCTACCTTGCCTTCATTCAGCTTCTTCCCAGGGTTGGTTTCTTCTGGGTGATAAAACCACTTGACTCGGACCACCATGTTGTTGCCCCACGACTCCCACATGCTCTGGATGCGGCCGATGTAGGGCAGGTTGGGGCGGCCAGCCGAGAGGAAGACGGCGCAGTCCCCAATGCGAATTATCTCCTTGCCCCGCACAATGGCCTTGTAGAAGAGCTTCCTGGCCTTCCCCTTCATTCCTCGTCTCTGCCAAGAGAGGATGGACACGGGTGAGCAGCCCTGGTTTGCCCCCAGCCAGCACAACCTTTGTGCAGCCCCCAGGGGCAAAGAGAGGCACCACACGACCAGGAGGGGCTGCGTTTACCTGCGTGGGCTTCCCGAACCACTTCCACAGCTGCCGGGCGGGGAGGAAAGCGGCGATTTTGGGTCTGTTCTCCACCGAGGGCAGCCGCTGGCGCTTGGCCAGCTCCTTGGTGGTGGGCAGGTGGATGCCCTCACGTTTCTTGGGCCTGCTCTTGTTGCCGCTCTGCTGCGGCGCCGGCTGTTGCGCCGGCTGCTGCGCCGGCTGCTTCTGGCTCTGGGGGTGGGAGGACGCGCGGGATTTCCCTGCCTGCTTGGTTTGCTTGGGAGGGAGGGCTTGCTGCACCGAGGAACTTGGCTGGGCCTCAGCTACTTCGTCATCAGAGCTACAGGAGGAGTCTTCGTCCGTCGTGGAGGAGGAAGAGGAGCTGGAGCTCGATGAAGAAGAGGTCGAGGAGGCGGAGGACGAGGAGGAAGAGGAGGATGAAGAGGAGCTGCTGCTGGAAGAGGAAGAAGAGGAGGAGTTGGAGGAGGAGAGAGGGGTGGATGCTCTGGAGCTGGCCGAGCTGCTGTCCTGGGCTTCCCCTCTGTTCTTCTCAGCCTCCTCTTCTCCCTCTGACTCTGAGCTGCTGTCACTGCTGTTGCTCTCAGACTCCTCCA